CTATAATTATTGTAAATTATTATTACAAGTATTTATTTAAATGTCACGACAGAAATTGTTGCATTAAAATTCACAATCACGTGTCAAACTATCGCGATAACAATAACACGCAAAAACGAAGACGAAAAAAGATATATAAGAAAAAGAGCGAACTTGTGATCTGTTAATTGTAATTGCGATGACGCTAACTATTTGCATCTCTCTGATAAAATTTACTGACGTAAAACATCTGTGCTTTCCATGCTTTGATATAAGCATCAAGATGATTATGTATTTTTCTTACGGCAATATTTTTCTTAATCTCATATGTGTCGTAGTACGTACTTCACAACTCTAACGACACAATGCGTCCGGCTTACGTAAGTCGCGTTTTTTACGCAACTAAAGCGTAATAATTATAACAAAAATTTGCAATAAATATATTATACGTAATAATAATAAATATTTCGCGTTGTGGGGAAGAGCATCGTTTCAGTCGAAACGCGTAATAAGGAGAGAAATAAATAAATAAAGTCACTTAATTAAGCAAATTGCAACAGTAATAACATATAAGTTAACAAACCCGATTGTGAAAAATTGTTTGCAAATTTCGACAACTCTTCGCAAATTAGTTCGATATAATCTCGCGCGTGTGACGATGCAGTTGCAACGCGCGCGCCAGCCAAACTTACTCGTCGCTGCAGCAGATGAGCCGATAAAGTACCGCGGTACCGCGCGAAGGTATTACGCCTACGCAACGCGAACGGCGTTTACACGAGTATGTTACGCGCATTAATGGACCAACTTCCCGGACATGACGAGTTTCGACGGTCGCCACAGATCGTCACCTGACAATGACATTGTCGTCTGTCGCGATGCAGACGCGCGATGTGCAGAAGCTTCTACCGCTTCTTCTTATCCGGAAATGTTTTATCACGTCGAAAACTTAAGAGAATACAAATGAAAATTCGGCAGAATAAGACACGATTAACGGACCTTGGTTCGCGTTACTTATTCATGTCGCGCGTTTTCGATGCGTCATAATTTCTTTTCATGCAGTCTCCGTTTTTTACGTCACGAATATATTAGTATAAGCACACATTATTGTTACACAAATAGGAAGCAAATAACAAGCATTGTAATGGAACACAACAGTCAAGGCTAAAAATCACATGTTATTCGATGCGCAAGATGTCAATAAACCAACTCGCGACCGGAATTATTCAGATGCGCGCAAATCCCTTGGAGACAAATGCTTCCGTGCGCGCGCGGTGTATCTCATTATTCGTTCAAGTTTATAAACCGAGACGATTCCGGTCCAATTCACGGTGTCTGCAATCGGCCGATCTTACACGATGGACTCGGCGATGTGTCTGGACGGCGCGCGTATCTGCTCTTATCTGGTCTCCGCCACCTATAGTTTTTGCAATTCAGGTGTTTGCGTGTGTGTAACATGAAATATTGCTACCGTGAACACACGTTGTACAAGTTGGCGATTTCTACCGCATATATACGTCGACGTGAAAATCCTATCGTGTCGGTTTGCAATCTGGCCGGAATGCAAACGCGCAGGAAAATAAAAATCTCGCAAATAAAACGCGAAAAGGAAAATTAATAACTATAGCAACGGTGTGTGACTCGCGCGAACGATGTGTCTGTACACATAAGATATGCACGCGGTATATGTTTGCAGTTGGAAGCGTACGCGTACAGATTCGCGTCGCAAATATAAACTCGGTGGGAGAAGCACTTGGAGCTATAAAATATGCTACTTGCACAATTGTAATTATGTAATCGAACGCGCTTACTGCGCGCGCGTACTTTCGCTGTAACGATGTTATCTGTGTGCAGATAGGTTAAAAAAATCATATTATCGTTGATCTTAAAATATGCTTTAAACACTCGCTTTCCGCAAAGAGATCGTTGAATCGAGATTACAGATCAATTTTTGTTTCGGTAGTCGTAAATCTCGAATATACACAGACAGCAAGAATATATGACGAGCACGACAAAGTATAATTAAATTACTATCACATGCGCGTGCGCGCGATCGTTTCACTTTCATTTTATTTTACTGACAAGTTTTCTTCTCTCGCGAGAGTTTTAATAAACGGAGGAATTTGTGTCTTGTAATTTATTGTTTCTCGATAAAATGTATTTTTTAATTGGCTATTAAGGAACTTCAAACACACGTACGTGTTACACAGATAAGATGGCGTGAACATAAAATTGTTGATAGTTCAAACGACATGTTGAGAAACAAAATTCATATAAAGAGAAGAAACGAGGAAGCAACACGCAAGTGAACAACATATTAAACCAATTAGAAGACGCTTCAACAAGCGTCAATATGTAACTAGTAACTACTGATACGTGAATGTGTATTGGCGATCGTAAATTATAAATATATTATAAATATACATTGCGTGTCTCATCTGCAGCAGGTTATTTGTTTGTACAGTTAAAAACAGTTAACACTTTTTATTTTCGACGTGTTTGAGCGAAAAAATACGCACGAGATGACGATAAATTAAAGAAGACTCAGTCGCGAAAGCAAACAAACGACGCTAATTATAATTTCGAAATTTGCACGTTGAAAGGAAACAACAACAGATAACTTACAATTTAACCAGAAATCATAAAAACGCGCGGAGATATCTCTTGACTCGCGTGATGTGCGAGTTGAGTAATAGTTTGATTATTTTCATCTGAGATGCGAAAATACTCTCTCTTGCTCGAAAAAAAGAATACGCGACTAAATCCGTTTACGATGTTACTATATATGGAAATCCAAAATTTCTGAAAAAGATTATGATGTAGCACACAAAACACGATTCAAAAATTACTTGCTGCCGTCTAACTGCGTAAAAAAATATTTTATATGAAATTCGCAATTAATTCTTGATATTTGGTTACTCCAAGTGATATCACGCTATGAGACATGGACAAACATGATAAAAAGTGTCTTATCTGATAACAGTCGTGCGCGATAACATATTCAAGGTAGATAAAACCATTTTTAGTCGCTTATGTAAGATCAACAGGAAGCGGAATATTTTCAACTTTTGAGTTAAAAAAAAAACTGTAAGTTGAAAAATAGCGAAAAAGAACAGAATCTTTTTATTTTAAAGATGAAACAATATCTCCTTTAATAATTTTAAAAGTTTTCCTTATCTTCTTGCTTCTGTGAATTTTTTTCTTGCCTTTTCAATTAGGAGATGCTGTATGAATATAAGTAATAAACATTAAATATTCAGACAGGCATAAAAAAAAGCCAGACAGGCATAAAAATGTCTAAAAGACGGTTTTAAATCGTCTTTTAGTCGTTTTTTTTTTTTTTTTTTTGTGCTGTTTGAGTATACACGTGTGTTTTCTCAAGATATAGACAAGACACTATCTTTGGATATATAGTGGCTTTTGTTAATATTCTGTAGATGACGCGACATTCTCAATAGTTTCTTTGTATAGAACTCTATTGTATCGACAAATAATGCGTCTCAGAATGCACTTCTTTGGTTTTATTAATTATTCAAATCTTTAAACGCATGCTATAATGTGTATGTGTGTGTAGTAGTCAAAAAATTACTATATTCTTCTACTAGAATAAAATATTTAATGTCAAACAAATATATTAAAAACTAAAGCACAAATATTATAAAATTATAACTTATAACACACGTGAGTTTTAAGTTTAATATCAATTTCCAAAATATCTACATTTATACACATCTTATTCCAAAATATATTTTAATGTATCTACAAACGGTGATATATATGTCGTTACCAACACATGATCAAACAGATGATGAAACACACACACACACACACACATACAAAGAATAATTTTCACAGCGTATGAATAAGTTTAGCTAAAAAAAAAAACATTTATTAAAACACGCTTAACATGTATAAATCTGTAATTAGGAACAACATTTCCTTTTTTATATAACCGGTTATAAAATTACTTTGTAATACATAGTTGCTTTTATTTCTCGATACATACCTGCTCACCCACGTGATTTACGAAACAATTTTAGTAAATGAATAAGAATAGGGCTCTGGAAGTAAGTCCTTCGCGTGTACTTTATACAAATTGTTATTATTTTTCTCCTCTCCAGTGATAAGAAAATATTCGTTATTGAAATTTTATTACATTGTGCAAAATTATTGCGAAAAACAGAAATTGTGTGACACACAATTCGCGCACCTAACTTTTACTGCTTTTATCTTATCGTCGCTACGCTTATCACCCGTTTTATCTATAGCTTTTAAAAGATATTTTCCAGATACATAAGCTGTGTACATTATTCTTCATAGTTCCTCCGATCACTCGTAAATTTTATCTCGATGATAGACGAGCTCTTTATCGATTGCGATCTCTCTGAGATTTCCTAGAAAAGTTCATTTTAAAACTCATCTTCAGAATTATCAGAACTATTGCGCTATCAAATAGATACTTAAGCTTTTCAAATATTTAAATTTCTGCGTCTGACGCAACAATAATTGTTTCTTCAATTTCTCGTTAAAAATTCTTAGACTTGCGAATTCACCAGAATAAATTCTGCTACACACGCACATGCAGCAAATTATCTATTTCGCACTGTCATTGCTCTCTGAAAAAAAAAAAAACATTTGCGGCCATGCCAAGTGAAATACGAGTGGCCAAGTGTCATTTGTACATAGCGAGATCGAAAACAGATTTCTGCTGCGCTGCCGCGACCTACTCGATCTCGCCAAGTAATCATGTGCGCTCATTCCCTTTGTCTACGCACTTCCTTCTAGCTGCAGACCGCACAGCCTGTCGCTTCTCGCTCGTCGACACCCACGCAGTCGATTGGCAACCTCGAAGCCGTTTTCCAACTCGTTCGTCCCACTTGAACTCGAGCTCGAAAGGCGAGGTGGCGCCGGTGCTCACCTGCCTGTATATGTATGATATTTACCTGAGATTCAACATCAAGAGAACCGGGGACCGGCTCGACCAATCGGCGTGCCCGACCCTGGGGCCCCACGCTCGGCGTCCGTTCTCGAGGGAAGGTACGCCTCGAAAGTCAGCTCGCGTCTGAACACGCGATTAGTACAGAAATTTCATCGTGCGCACTACATAACGCGAACCGATTCTTCGGTCTTTGCGCATAGTTCGCGCGTGTTGCGAGTGTAATCCCGTTCGCCGGAAATCATTAACGTCCGTTAATACCAGGTGAGTGAACCACATGATGAAGGTTTTTTTCCGATTTCCTCCGATAAAGACGGTGAGATCGGCTAGCGCCGATCGATCAAAATGGCTCCGACCTCGTTTGACCTCGTCGAGGATCTTCGGGCACATACACACGCCACGAAACGCAATGGTAATTGTGTTGTGGGGATGTTATCTTATCGGTGTTAGCTGTTTCTTTTTTTTTTTTTTTTTACTGCGCCGCATGATTGTCGCAATACCTGTTCTATTTCTCGAGTGTTTTTACTTTAGACATTTTTATATATCATTTTTAACGATTAACATTTATTCGTTTTCTGTTTAGTGATCATTGGCACAATCGACTGAGATTGTCTTTTTTTTTTTATTGTAACCGCACATGTGCACACAAATACAAACGTATAAATAAATGTACATGTTATATATGTATGACATATATTTATGTACTTACATAAATTCATTTATATATTTATATATTCATATATGTATATGCATGCGCGGCTTCTAAAATTTCCCAAGGCTATTGTCTGCGTCTTCTTGTCAGCTTCTTTTTCTTGTTCATAAAAAAAAAAAATTTCTTAACAATGGCGCATTAAAAAAAAATTTGACAAATATCGAACTACACGCAAATATGTAATTTAAAATAACTTAAACTCACACGTGCTGTTCTATATTCATGAGTTCTTCCAGAGTTTCATTGGCGTGTCACATGATTACTGTAATATTGTAATCAAACGTGTCGTCACCGATAAACCAGCAAATGATTTGACTGCGCGCAATAATATGTCATTATGCGCAATTCGACATCAACACGCGTACTAACAAACAGAATCGAAATAGATCGATCAAATATACATCTATTGATGGTGTGCGCGATCGGAGCACCGATCAAGTTCGTTTTCTAATTTTCTAATCGCAAGGAAAATGATGATATTCACCTCAACAAGTAACGAGACCTTTGGAGCTTCGCGAAAGTGGATTTTGATCGTCGAACAACCGTCCGCGACGATTGACAACGAAGATCGGCAGAAAGATGTGATATGTACCTGAGTCATTCTTATTTCCAATTCTATCCTTCGGACGTTTAAGCGTGACCTATAATCGCTATAGCCGTCGCATATGCAAATTTTTTGTCGTCGTAAAAATATCACGTATAGATGCTGTTGTCGCGAACCGACGCGAAATTCTCTTTAGTGCTTGGCGTCAATTGCGCATCGGAAACCAATGAAAATTCGCTCGCTTGTAGCGCAACGTGTAGTAGTTGTTGACACGCGACGAAATGTCTCATATACATAATATGATCTCACCGTATATTTTTAGTTATACATATGAGGCAATAAATCTGCGTTTAATCGAACAGATTTTGGCGCCTTTGATCTTTATCGAAAACATTTCTCGAAACTTCTCGTTTCAATAGCAAAAACGCACCGTGAAAAAAAAAACCAGCGAGTCTCGACGATTAAATCACGATATCCTTCGACGCGAGCAACTTAAATTTTGTTCTTTATGATAATCCGTTCCATCCTATTGTGTATTTTATTTTATTTCATTCGTTCGATATTTCGTACCGTCAAACTTTAAGTAATCTCTTTTCAGTAATCTTCAGTGCGTGATGATTTTGCTGCGAACTCCTCGATTATGCTGAACTTGAAATTCTTCCGTGGACTTTATTTTTTGCACTCCTGTATCACATCGCATAATGTGCTCCGAATCGAAGTGCGTTACAATGCGCACACAACGTGTGCAACGTAATGGGCTCTTATTATTATGTCGTGTCTCTCACAAATTGCATCGCGTTATTATTATGCAATAAGCAAGGTCAGTGTCCATCCAGATTGCGCATCTATTTTTACGTGCACAAAGCGCGTCTCCGAAAAGTCTGAATGTGAAAGCGAATCGAGTGCGTCTAATAATGACGGCGTGAGCGCGTTTAGAACGTTTTCTACAGGTATAACCGCGGTGCGGATCAAGTCGCCATACTGCATTCTTGATTAAAGGACGCGCATTTACTCGACGCGCAATTTAATTTCAATTTGTATTCTCAAAGAGCCTAAGTGTAAAATGCGTTGCTTGCGAAGTGCTTGCTCATAGACACAACCTGTGTGAAAAATAAAGAAAATATTTTTATAGGGAAAACCGGGAGAGAGACACCATCGGATTGCTGAGAGATGACAGAACACCGCTCACAAGCATTATTTCTATATCTTCAGACACATGATCTTTTTCACGTCTCGATGCTTTGTATTTGTGTTCGTTCCGAATGCGTAAATATCAAAGACAAAGCGCGTGCTAGAATGTATTGATTTCTTCTTATTCAAAGCTCGAAGAAAAAAATAAAATATTCGTTTTCTGTTGTGTTTTTGTTATAAACTGAAGAAAATGTATGTTTCACACACACACACATTTGCGAACAAGTTTCTTATCTACACAGAATGAATAATGCGATGTGTGATAAAAAAAAAATTAATCATTAATACGCGTATATTGCACGACCATGTTTCATGCGATTCTATTAGTGAGCGAAGCAATATATATACCTATTCTTCAGAGACAACCACATCACATACAAAGAGCATTCAAATTTCGTTATTTTATGCGTATTTTTTATTTATTTTTTTTTTATTTATTTCGACGTTCGTTGATTTTTATCGCTACGGAGAACTTTACTTTTGCGTAAAAGTAAAAAAAATATCTCTATTAATATCCATTAATTAACATATTAATGGAAGTATCAACTTCATAAATGATTTATTAATGAAAAAAACAAATAAGAAAAACAGTCAATTAAATAAAAAAATCGTTACGAAATCGACAGGTACGCGAGCAAGTGTTTCTCTCTTCGAGCGTATATTTCTCACATGTGCGTCTGTTAGCAAAAGATCGTTAAAAACATAAATTAAAAACGCGATACGCAAAATTGGAACTCAGTTGTTGCAAAATGTCTCTTCGTCAAGATCTCCTCAGAAAAATTAGGGAATATCACTGGCGAAAACTTTAAAATATTATTCTGCGGAAGATATTTGAGTCTGATTCACGTGGCAACGCGCGACCATAAAAGGCTACGTGGAAACGAACGTGCTTGCGATGATCCGCCGCGTCGCACTGAAAACGACGGTGTTTCTCAACGGCCACGTGTTTATGACGAGAAACTGCGCGATAATGACATTTGGAAAAATTCTCTTTATGCGCCATCCGTTTTATTTGTTTTAACGACGCTTCGAAATCCCAATTTTATTCCGCACGCAGCGGCGTCGGAGAACGTAGAACATAATTATGATATCCGCTGTAATCACGTAATTACTTGGTTTATAATTATGTTGCAATCTAATTGATAGAAATCGTACGTGTGTTTCAACTTCTCCTGTAGAATTGCCGCTCAAGTTGCGGCTTAGAATCGTGCAATTTTTAATAACATTTTTGCGCTTTCCATTCGGCTACGAAGGTGTCTTCTCCGTATTTAAATCGAAATGCATGTGTGTGTGTGTGTGTGTATGTGTATCTTCCCGTCCTTGATACCGCGTTACTCACAAGCGACAATCAGCCTCGTATCATCTGTCTGTATCGAATACGAAAGTATCGACACGTGTGTGGCCGTTTTCATTTCCGCCTCTACTAATTCCCCACTTCTTTTTTTTTCCTTCTGCCGAACCGCGTCCCGAAGGGTCAACGACGCGAATTGACCTCTCTTGGTGAACCGACGGTCACTGACACACATGGAAAGGTATTATTACGATACCGAAGCAAAGTGTCGTAGTGATTAATTGATTTCTAGGAATTCAGGCTGTCGACAGATGTGTCGAATTGACACTAGATGTTTCCGAGAAACGTTCGTGCGCGAGTACTACTTGCACGAACTTGTGAAATTTGAATTACTTTTACATATATCCTTTGATAAGATTCGATTTTGAGCTAAAGTGAAAATATCAAAGCGAAAATCTTGTATCGATAAGTCAAAAAAAAAAAAGTTTCTGAAATTAAAAATTAAAAGATATGCGAACGCGAGCTTTTACACATTTGTTACGAGTACAAAACTCTTAGGATCATTATCTTGAGAGAAGTTAAAAAAAAATTAATAAAATCTGAAAATGTTCACACACACACACATATACAATCACATTGTGTTTGCAATTGCACACTCTACTGTTTATTAACTCGCTTTAAATGCATGCAGACAATAGCACATTCACAGACAAAACAAATATGTTCTTCGAGTACAGAGTACAAGAGAGAAATATATAGTATAAGATGAAATAAAACAAATATACGATAACGCGAGATAAGACGCTGCGCAGCGATAGATAAGAAAGTTGCACGCTCTTGTGTGTCGAGAGTTAAATGGACTCTCTCCAGGTACATATGAGAAGATAGAGATCATTTAATTAAAAGTTATTTTCCTCAAGAACTTTTCTCGCAGTTTTTAAACTTTTAGATGTAGTGTTAACAAAAACAACTTGTGTCTATCTCAAAATATCAAAGTTCAAAATGGTTTGACAATCTTACGGAAAGATAGTTTATCACGTTGCACACACATGTAAATATACTGTGCGAGATAATCACACACATTTATATTAAATTGCAAAAGTGTATGAAAGAATATTGTCAGTACTTTAACTTTAAAAAAATGTTAGGATAAAATTATTATAGAAGTGCAATAGACGCAACAAATGCGCAATATTCACGACAAAGTGTGTATGTGTGTGTGTGTGTGTGTGTACGAAAGGAGAAGTCAAAAGTAGAGAAATACGTATGTTATTTGTATATAGAATCTATTATCCCCGCACAATACTCACTTTACACACGACTATTAAACTAAAGAGACCAGATGTGCAGTCGGTTAAACATGGACATCTTTATGTCGCTTTAATAATAATAGCAAACATCAGACGCACATATTCAAATTGCACAAAAGAAATATCACGATTGGAAGAGTAAAAATACAACCAAGTGTTCACGCGGTTAAAATTGTTTTACATATTGTTCAAATGTGTGCGCGAAAAGAATACATACATACGAATATATTTTTAACAGTCTTGGATGCAAAGCGTTATGTGCTTTTACGTGCGTGAAGTATATTTAACGACAAAAACTAAGATAATAATCAATATACGTTTGCATCTGTAAGCCATTCGAATTAACACACGTGTTCGCAGTAGAGATGCTGACACCTCGTGTATTAGCGTTTAGAGTTTCTGCGAAATCAGCAGATTCTTTGAATAATAAAAAATCGCAAGAGATGATCTAAAGTATCAATTATCTTTTATATCAAATTTGTGAATTTTGATTAATGAAACCGACCGAGAAATAGTTGTTACATTTAGTCGAACATTGTCGAAAACGCGCTGAATGAATTACGATCATCCACGACGTGTTGAATGGCGATGTAAAATGGAAGTGCAATTCCTATATGGAAAGCGTACTTCTTCGAGGACGCGCGTGTTCGCGCCATGCGTGTAATGCACGCTCGCGTATGCCTGATGGAATGCGTTCCGTGAAATAACGTGTGTGCGTGTATGCGTGTGCGCGCGTGAGGGCGTTTGTAAAAAATATTACTGCAGAATCTCTCAATCTCTATACAACCATATACAACCAGTATAATCATTTGTTCAAGTTACATACATGCACACACACACACACGCAAGTTAAGTTATACAAGTTAACAAAAGATTTCATAAAAGAAGAACTCAGAAGATTTTTTCCTCGCAAGTAAATGCGCTTATCTGTTGAAAAAAGCCAAACTCTATTTAAAAAATCTAACATCGAGCTAATGCCCTTGTTTCGAGAATAATTCTTCCGTCATTTGTTGTTTCAATACTCTGCCGAGACTGTTCTTTTTTTAGAGTATTGATAGGTCCGTTGAGTTAACGTTGTACGTGTGTGCGCGTGTCGTTGTTCGAGATTTACGATTCTCTTTTATGTCGATTTCACAGCCGCTCCGCGGCTGAGAGGAGCTCCCTCGGGCAATTTGGGACTTGAAAGTCCCAAGGGGAGGAGCTGACCACCTGCGCTTAGCAAGTAATTCTACCTGGCTCAACTTCGAGTTATCTTCCAGGGATCGGACAAAGAAGCTCCAGATGGAACTCGCCTTATTCTGTAGTTCTTCCGCTTCTTCTCAAACTCACGCGTGAACGTATGTATGTATGTTTGTTCGGTTTTACGCTCGATCTTCCTCCACATAAATGACAGCCACGGATGATGTTTTTTTTTTGCTTGAAGAAATTTCTCTCTTCCCACGACAAAGAAGCTGTTTCGTTTACGGAAGAGATGGAAAATGGATTTTCGTGAGAAGCGCGTTTCCACGCGATCTTCTCTTTCGATGATCTCAATGGAAAAACATGTTACGAAAACCAGTTCGGAAAACGATAAAAATAATCTCGTTGGCACAGCTGTCAAGACGAATGATATTCCTAATTCTCAAGGAGTATTTTTCCAATCGAGTAGTCATGATACCTGATGTTCTCGATCCAGTTAAAAAAAATTCCTATACATATCGCGTGATGTACAAAAGAATATTGAATTAACTTTTGTGCGATCACACGCAATGTCTTCTCTCAACAATCGCGCGTGTCGACTAGATAAACGAGACATCGGTGCGAGAGATAACTCCATTGTCATCGCGAGATGAGGAAGCTCTTCTCGAGCGACTGTTACGCAGTTAATGGCGCGTAAATCCTCAAAGAACTGAGACAAAAGAGTTTTTTTTTTTTTTTCAAATAGAGTTTAGAAGTTTCTCAACATACATCACACATATTGAAACCAATATCGTCAAGTGAACCAAAACCATATAATTATTTACCGCGTCACTTTTTCTTCCGATTTTGATTGCAATTCCAATAGAGTAAACACCTCGAGAGAACTTCTCGGAATCAATGTTTTTTCTTGTTGCGGAAAAATATTATCCTCGATTTCAACATTTGCATGCCGTGCTGCGACGTTTCTGCCGCATTATCGTTTCTTACGTAGGAAGTACGCGTCGGTCTTACCAATTCCTTGTTTGTCTATACATTTGCATTTCGTAGCAGATATGCGCCAAGAAATTGTTTACGTAAAAGAAAACGACGCCGCGTTGTCGTAACGAACCGCGTAAAAAATCCCGCGCTTCGGGAATTAATTTATTTCATCGGTCTCTGAGCTAAATCCGATCAATTTGAGAGACAAAAGTAAGATAAGTGTCAAGTTAGTTTGTTTGACACGTTAAACGTGCGATAACACAACATGGGATTTAAAGGTGTTCACTTGAGAACCTAATCTCAACTTTTATTAATAACACCATTTTTTGCGTTGCTAAACATCAGATGTTTATCCGCAGATTATACTCCAAAACTTTTTTACATGTAAAATATAATTGATTTTAATAAAATATAATAATTGATTTTAATAAAAGACTAATTTTCTTATCATTTATAAAACAACTATTGAAAAGTATACCCACGTACAATTTTGTATAATAAAAAAATAATTTGTTTCTTTTCCACAAACATAATTTACAATTAGTTCAGAACTCGAGAATTACTTATCTTTCTTGTAAAATCTCTAAAATCAATATTCCGGATGTAATGTATTTCCGGGTATTACAACATTTTGTGCGGAATGGACTTTTTGTCAACTTATAAGTCAATATCACAGATATTTCGTATAACAAGAACTGCGACCGCGATAAAAGTTCTCAATCAGACAAGCGATCTTTGTACTCAAATCGAGTCAGTAAAAAGACGTGACTGATAAAAATATACAGTGCATCGATGAGAGACACGTAATGCTGTGCACCAAGTTTACAAAATAAATTCAATCAACTCTGCTTTGCATACGCAAAGCCAATTAACGACAGCTCGTAACGACTTTCAAGAGACAAATATATTATATACATAATAATGTATAAATATTTTAATATAATAATTCTAAACTATACTTCTCTTCTGTATCTCAATGATAAAATAATAAAAACGTACTTTGTGCGGGAATAAGATATTTAGTGTAACGTATCAGTTTATTTTCTACGTAGGTACTTCCTTAGATTTCTGACGCATTGTGTAACAATAATCACGAGATTGCAAGCTTATCAATATCTAACGTCACATTTGTTGGGAAAATTTCCTACTTTCTCTCTTTGTTTGCTACTTCAACTGTTATCTAAACAACATGCGCGTGTTTTTATTCATCGAATGTCAACCCACCGTAATCGTTATACATTTGATTCAGGAAGAAGAGAAAGGAAGTTCACTTTCTGTGGATCTCATTCTCTTCCAGCTGATCAATATACAAAGCATCCAAAACAAAAAAAGAAAATCAAAATACGCGATGTCTAAAAATCGGTTTGCTTTTTTTCATAAGAAGCGCGCCTCGATTATCTCGCGAAACCGAATATATAAAGATGACTGTGCATATACGTGCCAGAAGTCGCAATGGTCTGCAAATCGTCACGGTTATCTAACGTCAGCTGCTGTAGGTGGGGCAGCAACGTTGTGCAGTAAACGCGAATATAACATGGCACTGCTTCTCGGGTGCAGGAATCGTTCGTTAAAATCTCTGGGTATCGCAAAGCGACAGGCGAGTTTGAAGGATATTCTCGAGCTCTCGTGAGCTTCTTTGTAGGATCGAATCGAAAGGTACATTGTTAGACGAATGAAGTTACAACATTCAGTTGCTATATAGAGAGAGTCAATAAAGTTTATGGAGTTTTTACATAAATTGCATCAGCGTGTAGAGAAATAACATTCGCACTTCTGTGACTGTTCGGTTAATTAGTATCAGTGTGTAATAAGAGTGAAACAAATAATTAAAACTCCCCGACTGTATCCGTGAAAGAAATGTCAAAATAGGTGCGTTCGGTGGAAGAAACCTTATAGCGACGGCTTATTGCGGAAGTCGTTTCTTCTTATTTCTTAGTAAACCGCTAGATGCTTCCGCTTTCGGACTTGATTGCGCCAGCATGAACGTGACACCCCGACATAACAACACTCGTAGGGCTACGATACCGAGAAACATTATTCGGGAAAATAAAGCCAGTATATTTCGCGTTATAAAATATAAAAGCTGTAAACTCTGAGAACGCAAACAAAATTAGCAATTTCCACTAATGTTAGAAATAAATTTATTTAATTTTTTAATAAGATTTTAAATACGTATAACTCTTTGATTTCGATGTACGCAATTTCAATCACGATCGCAATGAGTTTTCGAAGAAGTCGAAACGAACAAAGCGATGCGTTTGGCGTGAGAAGTAGCAGACTGGTCGCCAGATGTTACTCTGGAAAGAGTGAAAAAAAAAAAGTCTCATTTTACATAGGAAGTGCTGGCAGTTTCAGCGCAGTGTGATGTATTTTTCTACATCAACTTTGAGGAGGAAAACGGACGTTTCCGCGCGCGTATGTAAAAAAACGTTGCTTATAATCATTTATTGTAAATTAAAACTAAATTAATTTCGATGAAACGTACGAGCGCGGAATATAATACAAAACGAAACTTGAAGTCGTCCCGAAATGTTTATATCGTGAGACAATGATGACGAAAATCGCAAATCGTATGATTTATTATTCGCAACAAAGAACTCCGATATCAAAGTTCAGTGTAACAGTTGGATAATGTATAAACAATGGATGAACAGTTTCAGAGGAAAAAAAATCACCGACGCGCATTATCGCAGACACGTAATTTCTAGAATGTAGAATGATCTCTCTTGTCAATCGCGTAATAACAAAGTCCGATTGTTTTCAGAATAAGCCGCAAAAAAATAGAAAAAATGGAGATATCGGCAGCTCGGCTGCTGACCATCATTTTGGCGGTCATCGCCGCTGCCTCGTCATCTCCCACCGAAAAAACTTTTTCATCCACCGAAAAGACTTTGTCCACCACGATACTTGCTCAGGACAGCAAAATCAATACTACAGATGACGTACTTGAGGAGAGAGTGGACAAACTTCCAAATGATGTCAATATAACTGAGAAGACGTCAAAAGACAAACTTTTAGATTACGTCAAACATTTTGGAAATATGAAAGAGATATTAATGGAGGAGATACACACCTTGGACAAGGATACTATCGATGCCAAGGTTAGTACGAGATCTCGATTAGATGAAAAACACACACACATCACGTTCTTACATATTTTTGATTTGCTAAAAAAAAGAGAGTTTTGTTTTTTTTTATCCATAAATTATATAGACATTGCCAATATATTTACAAACAATTGACGAATTATTATTTTTACTTGCGAGTTATTAAAATGTCACATAATAAAAATTACTAATCAATACCCTTGTTAAAGATCACGTTACTTTACATGTTAAACTAAACGTAATTTAAGAGAAAAATTTACATACTCTTAAATTGTTAAAAGTTACGTCTGATCACTACTGAAACCGATTGTTTAGATCGACGAGGAGGTGGCGGAAACCTTGAAAGCCGAGGCACAAAAAGATCGCGCAAACTTGCGAAGCAAGTCGACTCCGACACCAAGCGACTTGACAACGAAAAAAGTGAAAAAAATAGAAAAAGACGAAAAATCAGAAGAATCAGAAGACGATGACGTCTACGACGACGACGACGTCAGTGACGAGGAAATCGAAGAGATCGAGGACCAATACAACGAAGACGACGAATACGACGAAGGGGACGATATCGATGATGACGAGGAAGTCATGACGCAGTGTCCTGATTACTGTAAATGCGTCGGGCAATACGCCGCTGCAATGACCGCTACGTAAGTGTTTTCCAGCTTCTAATCAGATCATTATATAACTAAATAACGTCCCTTTAGCGTGACGATAGACCGAAAGAGCGCGCTGATAGACCGCTTCCTACGTATCTATTCGGTAAAAAAACTAAAGCAATGTTCGCGTTCGGTGACGTTTCTTCGCAAGACGTATCATTTAATGCAAATATCACTAATGTAACCTTAGTCTTTTGCATTTCAATGTACGATGTTGCGTTCTTTCACGCAACTTAAATGTAAATTTGTGTATATCTTGATCTTGTTTGTCATCGTGTTCGCGTGCGGGAATATCCGCAAACGGATGAGATAATTAAAAAATTACGATGCAGTTTGCGTATGAACGTAATAAAAGGTAATTATTTTATCGCGTCGCATTATCGAAATTTTCATTACTCTGTAGATTGTTCCAGAATTGATGTGTTATCGCTATTTAATCTCAGTTGGCTGATAACGGGCTGATTCTCGTCTCGATTTTTTATTGTACCGTAATATCAAAACCGCGTTATTATCAACGTTGCTATACACTTCTGACTCTAGTACTTAACAAAATTGCAAACATAATATATAGCTTGCCGAATGATGCGCGCTTTTTCTATAATTTTTTTTTTTGTTCTTGCTTTTTTCTTGCAGCTGCACCAAATTGGTGGACGGACAAACTTTCGGACCGAATATCGCTCATTTGCGAATTAAAGACGCCGGCGAGATCCGATTGGGCCCGAACGCTCTGCGAGTTCGAGGTCTTCAGCAACTGGAATCCATTACCATCGTCGACACTCACATAGTCGAGCTCGATCGCACCGCTTTCAACGGCATCACGTATCTGTTTGCCGTGAACTTGACGCGCAACGGTCTTCGGGAGATTCATCCGAACACTTTCCAGAACAACACGCAACTTAGTTTGCTCACCATCTCCGGTAATCCGCTCATGCAAGACGCGACGAAGCATTATCTGCTGCACGCGCCGTCGGTTACCGATTTCGTTTTCTCGAACAACGGAATTGAAAAGCTGAAACGCACCGCATTCTCAAAAATGCGCAGCCTCACGTATCTCAATCTGCGTGGTAACAGATTGAGAGAGATCGACGGCAAGATCTTGAACGGGTTGGACTCGCTTGTGGAGATGGATCTCTCCGAGAACCTGTTAACCGACATCCCATACGAGCTGTTCAAGGACACACCGGTTCAAACTCTTAACATCGCTGGTAAGAGAAACGGTTTTGCATATTGGTGACACCTATTTTAGAAAAGAGCAAACACATCAGTGATAGAGAGAAAGAAAGATACTAATTTCGTAATTCAGATTAATGAAAACTTTTTTCTTAGGAAACAACTTGTCCACATTAAATACGTTGATCGCTCCGCAACTCGTAACTCTGCACGCTTCGAGAAACAAGATCAAAGTGATCGCCAAAGACGGAATTCACAATTTGGACGGAGTGCCGATGCTGAACGAGCTGGATCTCAAATCAAACAATTTGAGAAAACTTTATCAGTACGCTCTCAGCAGTCTTACTCAGTTAACGTATCTGGATCTCAGCGATAACAAGCTTTCATCGTTAACCGAGCACCACTTCAAGTCCAACTCGAGATTGCAAGTTATACTGTTGAGCGACAACCCCGACTTGAAGACTCTGCCGGTGTTCAGAACTTACGGTTTGGAATACAATTCCTTCGGGTGAGTATCTCAGCTTTGTTTATAAAAAGATACGCGAGACAAATAGATCGCCGATGACAAAATTATTCTTGTTTTCAACAGTGTCTACCGTTTCGAATGTGCAAATTGCGGTCTGGTAACTCTCGAACCGGGTACGTTCGACGAGATGCCGGTGCTCTCTAAATTGAATCTCGCGAGCAACCACTTAACCGAGTTACCCGACGAATTCATGAAATACCTCACGTCCCTTAAAGAATTGGATCTTTCCGACAATAAAATTTCCTCTATTAAACGCGGAATGTTCCACGGTGCCGCGAATTTGATAAAATTGAATCTCGCTGGTAATCCGTTGAGAACGATGCAGGTAACACCGTTCTTGGACACTCCTGAACTCGTCAAGTTGGACGCGAGTCGATGCATCCTCGAGCGCGTATGGAGCGAAGCCAGAGTACCATTGAAGAGCCTTCGGTAAGTATCACGAAGTTAGAAGAACTTCACAGCGATTTCCTTCTTTTTTCTAAGAACCGCAAGCATAACTTATTATTAACGTAAATGTTCCAATAACCGTATCAAAATTATCAGAAATATAATTGAAAACTAAATGTAACAAATTTAAAAAATAATTATTGAATATATAAATATTAATCATAACAATTTTTGTTCTAAGTGTTTTGTTTTTAGATATACTAGCACATCGCAGACGCGCGCTACGCGCACGCTATTATTTTTATTTTAACATATTCTGACCGAGGTCAGTGACCCCCCCGCCAAGGTCGCGCGGCCGGGTCAGTGACCCCTCTCACTACGGTCGCGCGACCGAGGTCAGTGACCTTACGGTAGTATGTACATAATATATATAATATACAATATAAAGTATAATATTATACTTTTATAGGAAGAGGATTCTTTCACAACTGTTAGTTTTTAACTCTTTAAATATATAAATATTTTGTTATTTCTTTAATAAATATCTGATACTTGTCCGGTTACTGAAACATTTATCTTAGATACATTTCTTTAACAAAATTAGCAGGTTGCCTATCTGATGACTCTTCGTGTTTACGATCGATTTCGTTTTCCTTCAGATTCCTGTCGGTTCGCGATAATCTTCTACGACGAATCACCATCGAGGAACTTAGGGCTACACCGAAGCTCACTGGTCTCGATTTGTCGAAGAATCTCTTGGATTGCGACAACGAGTTCCACGAAGCTATACAATGGCTCACTGATCACGGTGTGCAACCGACTGAGATACTCACGTGAGTGCTAAGTTTCAGTGTTCAGCTTTGAATGTTACTTCAAGAATCCTCTTAATCTTTTTTTCGCGTAATATATACTTGTAGCAATGTCAATGATTTCGCTGATGTTGACGATGACTCCGACTCGAGAGGCATAAGTCAGTGGGTTGATCTAGCGAAGGTGGTTTGCGACGGAATTGAGGACGGTCCGCCGCCGAGACGACCTCCCGGCAGAAAGACCACAGATCCGAAAGATGTTCTTTTCGATTTCGACGAAGACGCCGAAGATAATCTGCTGAAGAATGAGCTTGAGAACGAGGAAGTAAGATATTCCTTTGAAAAATTGCGCTACGCGCAAATATATTTATTTAAACAATTATTCAAATGACCGGCCCAGTTTCGCGGCCTGAGTGCGAGGACTGCGAGCGAAAAGTCCCGAGTTCAAATCTATAACATCGGATTTTTCCGGGCCGATCTCTTTCAAGTCAAGTTTATCGATTAAAAAAACCGAACTGAATCGGGCCTCCAATCAGCTTGAATTGATTGTGAGAGATGTGAAAGAGGAATATAAAAAAATAGTGTAATCCTGACAGGAATCAATAAAATATTTTTTATCCTTTTTACAATTATTCAAATGCTTGACGTTTGAATCTAGATGACGTCACGTTTCCAGCTCGAACGATAATGCTGACTAATGCATTTCTTACAGAAGCTTCTTAAGTTGGACATTGATCATGGCATGCGACACAACGATGATCCGATCCGAGACGAGGATTCGGAAGTCGAAGAAATCACCTGGCAGAGTAATCGTCTCGCCTACGAAACGCCCGGTTTTAAACTGTGGTTGGTTTCCGGTACTATTCTGTTGATGCTGGTCGTCTTCCTGTTAGTGGCGCGCATCGCCTGCTGCTTGGCGAACAAACGAGGACGAGGTCCTGTTATCAGGCCGCCTCTGATTCTTCGTCCGGGCCTGGTTGACAACAAGAACTGCGGTCTGGTGTACAAACCTCTGCAGGAGGAGATAGCCACGCCCCACATGCCGAAACGAGGTAGCTTCTACTCGAGCAGTACCTTCCATTACGACAAAATTGTGCCAGAGAGTGTATAGAAAACTTCTTGTTTTCTTGATTAATTAAGTAACCAATTACGGGGCGATCAACGAAATCGTAATTTATCCAAAAAATGGTCGTCGCGTGAGCCATCAAAGACCACTTTGCGTCGCTTGTTCGCAAATCAAGAGAAATCAATAGCAGACAGTTATTCGATGAACAATGCGATTGACAATTGCGAATTACTTTTGCGAAAATATGTTTAAACGATTAATCTTTTTGATCAAAAAATAATTCTTCCGACATTCTTATCCTGTTTTGAATAGCTTGCGACATACATGTGATATTCTCTGACAAGCTCAAGATTTTTGTTTTAAATCAGTGTTTGCAAAAATACGATATACATGGAAAGTTCGTGTATACACATACGGAAAAAAGTTTTGCAATTATGTGAATAACAAGAAAAATTTGTCAAGTCTACCGTAGGTTTGTTTCACCAACAAAATGTTTTGCTGGCAAAACGAAAATTAAATTAGAAACCATTTAGCCAATGTGTTTTCTTTTTTCCAATGGATTTTTTAAATTTCATAGAGGAGTAAAATGGATAATTTACATATACGAGATATATGAAATATCTATATCAAACATCTTAGATGATATTTCGAATTTCCATGTGTAGTAATTTACGCGTTTAAAAATATATATTTATATGTATTTCTACATATATATATGCATATATATTTGTTGCACATCCAGCGTATATTACTTCACATTAACTGTAAACTCTCTGCTAGTTAAAAAATAAGAGACTTAACAAATTTTTCTTGTCTGACTTTCATGTAGTGATCTAATCTTCTTGCTATTCCGGCAAAAAATGTTTTCCGTGCGTACATACGCGCGTATTGCGATCATAAAATGATCGGTTGACAGATATGCACAATTAAAACAATAATCAATTTTTGTTAACATGAGAAAAACTTAAATATATTTATTAAAACTATGTATGTCAAAGTTTAAAATTGAATGAAATTACTTAAAAATACTATTATAAAAATGATTGGTTTGTTTTGTGTAAAAGGATACAAATAAAGATTATATTATATTATTTATTCTGATTTGGTGTGCACTGTGTTAAATTGTAACCAACAACAAAAACACAGATACAAATATGAGCATTTAATTTGACACGGAAACGCGTACGATTTGTCGAAACGCACGTTTCTTGGTCTTGTTTTTTTTTACGTTACAGAATATGATTACCTAAAAGTTTATTGTTATTTAATGTGAAAACAATACCTAATAGAAATAAGAGATATAATCTGTATTTATATAATAACAATACTATAATGAATTCTGAGTAGATTCTTTTTAAAGGTAAATGAAATAAAATTAAAAATTTATACTTACTTAGAGTTTTTAAGTTAAGAATGTACACGTAAAAGTACAAAAATTAGTCTTTTCTAATTTTTGTAATTGAACACCGCTCTTAGAAAAAAGAGGATGCAATTTGAAAAAATTCCAGAACAAAATTACGTATTATTTATAATTTCGACAGAAGCCTACTTTAAGAGAAATTAGAACAAGAAATAAAATATATGACATATATACTTATGAAGAAGTATATATTTTTTTATATATAATCACGTTAAAAAAATAAAAATATAACTTTTATCGATGATATATATATATTAAATTTGGAAATTGGGCACTTGGTATTTTAGGGATAGGTACACAAATGGAAGACTTACGTACGATAGTTCGTTGACATACTTATGCTGAAAATATTTTTTTCGAAAATATTCGAACATTTACGTACAAAACTAATATTGCTGATATTGAGTATAACTTATCATATTGCTGCGCAAGTTATACAATTACATATTGTATTGCTGTAAATATTTTAATAAAATTTTAAGTATATGTACACACATACGCTCAAACTTTGTTTTTATTCCCTGTTTTGTTTATTAATTTAAGTATGTTACTTAAATAAGATAGAGAGAATTTCTTAGAAGGATGCAGAAACAGTGATGATTAGAAATTTTTGCTAATAGAGAAAAATCATTATTCAATCGACATTCTGCGTCATCGTCACTTTCGACATCAAAACAAATTCTATGTAACGAGTATGTTTACAGTGATAAAAAACTGATATAGAATTAAATGAGTTCGAAACTGTTTTGTTCGGCTATTTTAATACAAAGAATTGATGTACTTGTGCAAAACAAGTATACAGCCAATCAAGATCAGATCAGAAGACTAAAGTCATTGACGTATATCAGTAGCGGTTCTATGTCGCAACACATGCGAAGTAAACATTAGTGATAGATATTTAATAAGCAGTTTTTTATTATAATATGTATAAAAACTACTATAAAATATAATCGTCTACTTACACAATACAGTTTTGAAATAAATATAAATATATATATTCCGTAAAATATCATTTGAATCGTATTTACTTGAATATTCTTAAATTAAATAAATTTAGATCAAAAAATCACGAGACTATAAATCTTAAGTAAGTACTATACAATCAACATCTAAATCCGACATTAGAAACCAAAGCAAATCGCAGCAATCTTTGAATATTTTCTCTATCTGATAAAAAAAAATTAAAGATAGTATCACAAAAGCAACTTGATAAAATTTTATTGGTACAGCACTGCTCACATATATGTACGACCACATGTGACAGAGACATCTCATCAACCAAGTCGTAACATGCTGTAGGAAAAAAGAGGGGGAATATGGAACTGGCCGTGATAATAAGTCGAGAGAGAGGCACGAGAAGTTCGTGTAGAACGTAGCTTCGTAATATTTTCCGTCGAAAGACGTGCGCTATAATTCGTTGCACGATATTGTGTCGCATTTAATCAAAATTTAATTGCGCGCAAGAGATGCTACCGAGACGACGGGTTATCGACCTCCTCCAAGTTATTTCATCTCAATCGTAAGTAAAAGCTGAAATCATCTTCAAAATGTTTCTGTACAATAAGCAGAAATAAAACTATCGACGTCATGAAATAGACTAGACGATCGTTGCATCGCATGTAACGTCATGGATAATAATTTAATCAGAACGCATCGAGTGTATTCTAGTTATCTGCTGACATGATTAGCCACAAGTACGATAATCGAGATGAAATCGTATTGTCTTTCGATAAAACTATAGAGAAAAAGTATTTTGATAAAATGATGACATTAATTTTTCCATCTTTTGAAGTCTTATGTAAATAAATATAAAAAGACACGAAGAAAAAGAATATATAACGCGATATTGACGACAATCTGTTAAAAGAAACTTGGACGTGCATTAAAACAGTCTATAAAAATTCAAGATAGATACAACGATATTTGTTTTTGTTTTATAAAATTTCTTCGATAACAAGTACGAGAGAATTTCGCACAATTCTGTACTTTTCACTCGCATTTCAGATGCAGGTGTCCGGCTCACGGAAATCCAGGAGTTATCGGTGTACACGAGCACGGAAAAGCTCGAAGTACCGCGGCAAATGTCACACTAAACAAAGAGTATGCATTTGAGGTAAAATATCAGAAAATTGTTTTTCACACAAAAAAAATCAACCAAGAATCTCATGTACGATAATACGTCGATTGTAGATCATGTGCTTATCAAATCAAAGGTCTTCCGCGAGCTGAATTCTCTTTAGATAAGAATTATTTTTGAAACAACTGTGTTTATTTTTGCTTTTTTGAATTTCTGATTATCTGTGACAACAGATATAGTCAAGAGTGCGCGATTACGCAAGTAATATGAATAACGTAATTCTGTTATAAAAACTTGTTTAATTTTTTTACACTTCTCGCTGTACTATTAAAACACAAATTTGACGTTATTGAAATATAAGAAGTAACAGCAATCTGTAGTGTTCGCTTATTGAACGTTAGTTTTTTTTTTTTTTTTTTTGAAATTTTAGATGGCTTGTTCCACGGTGCGTTACGGAGTGGGAGTGACGAGAGAATTGGGAATGGACATGCAAAATTTGGGAGCGAAGAAAACGTGTCTGATGACCGATTCCAATTTGGCGAATTTAGCTCCCGTAAAAACCGCCATTGACAGTCTTTCCAAGTACGGCGTACAATTCGAGATTTACGATAAAGTACGCGTGGAACCGACTGAGCAGAGTTTGCAGGACTCGATCGCGTTTGCAAAGCGTGGAAACTTTGACGCTTTTATAGCGGTATGTGTGCAAAAATATACATCGAAATTCTACCGACTCGCTGATACAAATAAAACATAAAGAAATAAAAAGTGCTCGTAATAAAAAAATGTACGAATTTTGTCAAAAAAAAACAGGTCGGCGGTGGTTCCGTGATGGACACCTGCAAGGCGGCGAATTTGTACAGTTGCGATCCGGACGCCGATTTCTTGGATTACGTGAACGCGCCGATCGGAAAGGGAAAACCGATTCGAGTTCCTCTGAAGCCGCTCGTCGCCGTTCCGACCACTTCCGGCACCGGTTCCGAGACAACCGGTGTATCCATTTTCGACTACAGACCGTTAAAAGCCAAAACGGGAATCGCAAATAGGTACATGAAATTAATCGCATCGTGCGTTAGATCCTCATCGAATATGCACGAAGACGATAACATAAATCGAACTAATACTCTTATATTCTCGCAGAGCTCTGCGCCCGACATTGGGAATCATCGATCCCCAGCACACTCTGACTTTACCGGAGCGAGTGTGCGCTTATTCCGGTTTCGATGTGCTCTGTCACGCTTTGGAATCGTTCACCGCGATACCCTACACCGAACGAACGCCGTGCCCGACAAATCCGATTCTGAGACCGGCTTATCAAGGTAGCAATCCCGTCAGCGATGTCTGGGCGAGATACGCTCTGCAAGTTATGCGCAAGTAATAAAACGACCTGTTACTCTTTATATGCGAAGTGCCCTAACGTCTGGCATCTATATATTCATTTGCTCCGAGTTGAAAATTGAAAAAAAATCAGCAATTGTGACTCGTTCAAGCTGGTTGAAGAATATCCCGTCATTTGACGTCGTCTCGCTTGTGATTTGTCGTAACAGATACTTCAAACGGGCGGTTTACAATCAGGACGATCTGGAGGCGAGAAGCCACATGCATTTGGCGAGCACAATGGCGGGCGTTGGTTTCGGTAACGCGGGCGTACATCTCTGTCACGGACTCTCGTATTCCATCAGCGGAAACGTTCGAACTTTTCAGCCGAAGGTACAAAATTTAAAGAAATATTCACACCCGCTTTTTTATTTCCACACGCACTTTCACAGAATCGATGTGTTATTTAATAAGGGATACAGCAAAGATCACCCGATAATTCCTCACGGTTTGTCTGTGGTAATATCGGCGCCGGCTGTGTTTTCGTTTATCGGAGGCGCGTGTCCGGAAAGACACTTGGAAGCTGCGGAGTTACTCGGCGCGGATATCAAAAACGCGAAACGAGAGGACGCGGGCAGAATTCTGGCCGACACGGTGAAGGAGTACATGCGCGTCATGAAGGTCGAAAACGGTTTGACGGAACTCGGCTTCGAGAAAGGAGACATTCCTACTTTGGTTCAGGGAACTTTGCCTCAGGTGAGACAAAGCGCGTTATATATAAGCGATCAATAAGTTTCTGATATTTTATGTCGAGCGAGAAAAACAGCAATGTAACGACTAATACGTTATATATGTTTTCTAATTTTGCCAATTTATAATATAAGTTTTTTATTTCTTTTGCTTGCAGCATCGCATCACGAAATTAGCGCCACGTGACCAGTCCGAAGAGGATCTCGCGCAATTGTTCGAAAATTCATTTACCATTTACTGATAATCGTTGCATAACAAAAAATCCAATATTTTGATAATTGTATGTACATATGCCAAAAACTGATAAATAAAGATGTTATTTTTTTATTGTTACGTGCTAGATTTGTTCATTTCTGACTCGGCCTTTTAATCTTTACGTTGTTTGACGTATTTTGCGGAAATAACAAAATCATGCGCATGCAACTTCTCTCTCTCTCTCTCTCGCGTGCAATTTCGTAATAAGCTTCGCACTATTTATTCCTCGTATGCGCGTTCCAACATTGTGACAAAAAAAAACGTCACAAGGATAATGTTATTTAATGTTTTCTTAATTTTTATTAATACGTATCGCAATTAAGTCATGGTAGTTATTGGAATCAATGGTTTTGGAAGAATTGGGAGGATGTGTCTTCGCGTTTGTCTCGAAAGACACATTGAGGTAAGTTTTGATTATTAGAATACAATATACAACTAAGATAATATCCCGATTGAAAACCGCATAAATGCCAATTGTACACAAATAACGCTTTTGTGCACAGGTGAAATTAATTAACGATCCGTTTCTAACTACCGAATATATGCTGTACCTTTTCAAACACGACTCTACTCACGGACTACATCCTTTGCACTTCGACTGCAATAACGAATATATTATCAGCGGTGGTAAATATAAATAATGTATTTTTCCCGTAATTTATTGCAAAATAATTAAACTAAAAACAAATTTTCGAATAAATTTTATCTTGTTCAACGAGAGACAAAAATTGCCACATCGCAAGAGAAACAACCTTGGAAAATACGATGGAAGGAAATGGGAGTGACATACGTTATAGAAGCTAGTGGAGCGTTTACAACCGTAGAGAAAGCAAGCGTAAGATTACGATTCAGTTTTTTTCTTTGTTACTCACCAGTAGCGACGGAATCCATGGCTCAGATTGTCAAAAAACCCCCCGTCGAGTCGTCAGAAAATCTGAAACATAAAGAAATCAATTATCAGAGATCGCAACATTAAATTTCAATAGATCACGTGTGTAATTTGCAGCTGCACATCGATGGCGGCGCGAAAAAAGTCGTTATCACCGCGCCGTCGATCGACGCACCGATGCTCGTGTTCGGAACCAATCACACGTGTTACAATTCGAAGAAGGACGTGGTCGTGTCCGCCACGTCCTGCACCACCAACTGCGCGGCTCCGATCGTTAAAATCATGCACGACAATTTCGAGGTTCTCGAGGCAATGATAACCAGCATACACGCGATGACGGCCTCTCAAAATACTTTGGACGGTCCGGTGGAAAAGGTTATTCAACTTTAACTGTATATCGATTTTTTTTTATCCGCCATAGGTTATAAATCATAATATTTTTCGTGTGTCACTGTATATAAAATACGATCGTAAATTTTGTATAAATTATTTTGTGGCCGCAGCTACGGCCTACCACGCTGTGGAGAGACGGTAGAGGCGCTCTCCAGAATATCATACCGACCGCAACCGGCGCTGCCAAGTCATTAGCCAAGATTATCCCCGAGCTCAAGGGCAAGATCTCAGCCATAGCGTTTAGGGTGCCGATCCCTAACGTTTCATTATGCGACATGACGTTCAGGTAATTGGCGGATACGGATTCGCCGCGAGAGAGTTCACCGAACACAACTCACATATACTGATTCCAAGCAACGACATGCTCGCAATAGCGTTTCGATTACGTAATATATATAAAAAGATAAATTAGATTTTACACAAAACAATTTAGAAAATCTTTTTGAAAAAGAAAAATAAATAGACATATATCGTATAAAACTTGTATATATTTTTAAATTTTAATTAGCAACAAAGTTGCGCGCGTAATGAGCAAAATTATAATCGGACGTTTTGTCGGCGCGTTTTTTTCGATGTTATTTTAGAGTCAATAAACCGACGACGTACGACGAGGTGAAAGAGGCGATGAAGGAAGCGTCTGAGGGACAACTGAAAGACGTGCTGGGATACACGGAGGACGATTGCGTGTCGTCGGATTTCAATCACACTACCTATTCTTGCGTGTTCGACGCTAAAGCGGGCATTCCCCAGACCAGCACTTTCATCAAGATCGTCGCTTGGTAATAACGTCACATATGTCATCATGCGTAAAATTAATGTCATCATAAAAGTTTGTTCATAATTCTCAATATGTAATTTAAATAATAATTTAATAAGTAATTTGTATTTGTGATATAATTTTAATTGTGTTCAATTTGGTTGCAAAATTTTACAACCCGATACATAAATTCGATCTTTTCGCAGGTATGACAACGAATACGGTTACGCTTACCGTGTAGTTGATCTGATTCTATACATGCACAAAGCTGATACCGGTCAACTTACTGCGAGCTCCGGACAAATTCTCTTTCACGATGACAACTAGCGATCGCGAAAGATTGAAATACTCAAAAACTGTGTATTGAAAGTATCTCACGCTCAATTGTGATAATGAGAAATAAGTATGAAATGCAAACAATAAACGAATCCGCTAAATACGATTGATTGCAATTTGTCCGATGATTACAAATTTTTATACAATATATGCTTTTCACACCGAGATTAGTTTCTCTAATCGCACGTCTGTGCGATAGGGTTAGTTAACTTTACACCGTCGCGAATTGTCTACAGTTCATTAATTGGTTCGTCGCACGGCAACGATACGCGAATATAATGTCTGTGAAAATATATTTTCAACGAATACCTGCGTCAATCCAGTTCGAAGATCACTAATCCGCGGAAAATTGACGAAAACAAATCTGCAACTTTTCTCTCGCCACGTTGACGATGAAACTTTTGCACTTTCGCGCGCGCGGAACACTTAGACATCGAGCGCGATGTCACGTGACCACGAGCGACGACGACTGACGACGACGATGCGCGAAGCGTGATTTGCGCGAGACGGTTACACGGCGCAAGCGTGCGCCGTTTATATTATCGGCTCGTGCCCTTCAAATGACACTACTTTGTCAGTAGCCGCAGTGAACGGATCTCGTTTTTTTACGTGGGTGAGTAGGCAGATTTTAATTTATCATGTGATTTTCTGTCATCACTCCCGAATTGTTCATCTCGATTGAATCGTTCGTCGGTCAGGAGATATTTCATTTTTCCTCAACGTCGTTGACTGTACGTATCGTGTTAATTCGCGTCTTCCATTTCGGCGTACGCGAGACACCGGCCATTCTCGTGACGTTGTCGGTCGGACGATTCCGGGAGGAGGTGAACGATTGGTTTTGTTCGAGTTCCTGCGGGAGAACCTTCGAGAAAAACGCGACGTGTCGACCGGCACAAACGCATATTCCGAATAATGTTACGAATTCGGGCTGTTAGACACGCTCAAGTGATGACGCTTGATTGCAACATTTTGCACATACTCCGAAATGGAGTCTTTTTTTGAATGGATGACGATCGTTAACGGTTTCTCACGCGATCAATATTGTTGCACAACAATTATGCGACTATTAATAGCAAATTTCGGTTTCATATATATTCAAAATGTATGATGTCATTTCGATAAGATTGGTATAATCACATAACATTTTTTATTGTAATCATCTATGTAGTAGTAATTATAAATGTTTATAAAATGTTGAATAAAATTGACATTTTAATTTGAATTTTAGTATTTTTATACCGATGTACGTGAAGAGACTATGTGGCAATTATTTTTTTTTTTTTTAATTTTAGAACAAAATTGCAGTAGTTGCTCTTTAGTGTGTCAAGGATTTAATCAATTTGTATTTATAAAACTGTATTTATAGAAAATTACGATTTTCTATTGGTACACGTAAATACATGTCGTCAATCATAGTCGAAACAATTTTTTAGTCTCGCGTAAAAACTTATATTCTTTTTACTCGACAAAAGTAAATGTCCGAAACAAGGTACTCAGTTACGTCAGATCCGAAGTGCGATTTGTATGGATGCGCCGGCATTTACGTGTGTTTTAAATATATTAGTTCGTCAGACAGTGTCCGATAATCTCACGCATGCGAGATTACAATTGTCCTTCGAGGACACCTGGAATGTTGAAGGCCTAAAAGCGCATCCCCTTTAACCTTGCTTGACCTCCAAGACTCGTCTAATCCAACGTTTCGAGAGATGTGCCAAGACGTTACTAACCGCGGTTTGCTTTAAGATTCGGAAGATATTCTCATTCGAGAACTAAATAACATTGAACAATCTTGTCACATCCGAAATTACGTAAGCGATTCCGAACGCTCTGATAACTCTGTTACATTTATAAGTCAATTATAATTTTTAACAGCAAGTGTCAACAGAGAGAGAGAGAGAGAAAAAAGTCTAATTTATCAATGCAGTTGTCACTTTTACTGATAGCACTACAAATTTCGACGTGAATTTGACACTAATCTTGTAAAACATTCTGTGTACAGTGCGTATAATTAATAAAACAATGTGACAGACGCACAGTTAGTTAATTTTCAGCGCGTTTGTGACATAACAGTAGAATGTGAAAGATATTAATTTTAATACACACGAATATGCAATATTTGCCGATGTTCTTGAATTGCAGAGCAATTAATATTCCGAGAATAGCGAGGATATGTATAATGATTCGCATTTGCCGTAAATCGTTCGCTCCACTCTAACCTAGTATCAATTAACGAAGCACTCCCATATGCAATGAAATTCATCTCTTACCTGTTCCACGTAACCGCGCCGATTTCGCTGAGTGCATTCGCGCGGAAAATACACGGCCATTACGCAGTATCTTGTAACACTTGTACATGTCGATTTTTTAGTTGCAATCAAGAAAACGACGACATGAGCAAGATCGGAATTAACGGATTTGGTCGTATTGGCCGTCTCGTATTGAGGGCTTCTCTGGAGCGCGGTGGTCAGGTACGTTTGTATGTTGCGAATTGCAAAGTAGCGACACAAATCAATCATCATCTTGCTAATCTGAGGTCTTTTCGTTGATCAGGTCGTGGCCGTCAATGATCCCTTCATCGGTCTCGATTACATGGTCTACATGTTCAAGTATGATTCCACCCATGGCAAATTCAAGGGTGAGGTCAAGGCCGAGGATGGTCACCTTGTTGTCAACGGAAACAAGATCACCGTCTTCAGTGAACGTGACCCGAAGGCGATTCCGTGGGCGAAGGCAGGCGCCGAGTACGTTGTGGAATCCACCGGTGTGTTCACGACCATCGAGAAGGCGTCTGTACGTAAAGTCCAGAATCACTTTTGAAAACGATCTTACTGATATCTTGGATTATTAAATTTCTTTTGTTATATGTTATTGGTAGGCTCACATAGAAGGCGGTGCCAAGAAAGTCATCATTTCCGCTCCGTCGGCCGATGCACCGATGTACGTTGTCGGTGTGAACTTGGATTCGTATGATTCGAGTCAGAAAATAGTGTCCAACGCCTCTTGCACGACCAACTGCCTGGCTCCCCTCGCTAAAGTGATCCACGACAACTTCGAGATTATTGAGGGTCTCATGACGACCGTGCACGCAATCACGGCCACTCAGAAGACCGTTGACGGACCTTCTGGCAAAGTATGTGATATACAAATGGCTACTTAGTAGAAAATGTTAAAAAGTGATCGCACGTAATAATTCATTACAATCTTCTGGTAACAGCTGTGGCGAGATGGTCGCGGTGCAGGACAGAACATAATTCCTGCGGCAACTGGTGCTGCTAAAGCAGTGGGCAAAGTCATTCCGGCCCTTAACGGAAAACTTACTGGTATGGCCTTCCGCGTACCCGTGCACAACGTATCCGTGGTCGACTTGACAGTTCGACTCGCCAAACCGGCCACCTACGACGCTATCAAAGCCAAGGTAAAGGAGGCTTCTGAGGGTCCTCTGAAGGGTATTTTAGCTTACACCGAAGACGACGTGGTCTCATCCGATTTTATCGGTGACAACCACTCCAGCATCTTTGACGCCAAGGCTGGTATACCTCTAAATGACAACTTTGTGAAACTGATTTCGTGGTACGACAACGAATTCGGTTATTCCAGCCGAGTCATCGACTTGATCAAGTTCATGCAGAGCAAAGACAACTAAATATTTTTTTTCCAAATCAATTATTCCTCCGTATTCTCCTAGTTCCGATCGGCGCGAAACAATTACTACATGTATCATATCACTGTAAGAAACTGCTGTAATAAACACGTTCGTATTGAACGAAAGTTATTTACTAATTTGTAGCGGAGACGTGTATGGAGTAAAGCGAAGTATGTAGCTTTCTCGCACACAATTGTAGAAAGCGGTGTGTCTTTTCGTCGCTGATTGAAAATTATACAAAATAAAAATCCAGGTTCTATAGATATATATAGAATATATATTTATAGAGTATACACATCGGTATTTTAAAAATTTCCTGCGTACATGTACATTTTAATATTTGTCAAAATTATAACAAACCGTACATATAGAAGCCAAAATAAAATAGTACGACAGAATGTTATGCAGAATCTATGAAGTTTATGCTGCGTTAAAAACCACAGTAGAAGAAAAATATGACAATATAGGATTGCATTCATTAAGTCGTGAATTTTTATTAATTATCACTGAACGCTAATTTATTCATTTGAGATGAAGAATAATGTCGTGAACATTTAGTTGTATAAGTACAGAGCTTCTGTGTCTCTTATCGTGATATATGCTCACCTTTCATGAACTCGTTCATTTTCATGCCCGAAAGATACAAGTATGTATTTGTGATTTTCTTCTGTACGATTAACATTTTTCATTCACATAATAACATCAATAAAAATTGTTATGAAACTATAGTAGTTTCTTTATTTGCATCTGACAGACATTTTTGCGTGTTTCTACAATCTACATCGTTATACCTTTTTTTTTTTTTTTACAAGATCGCAGACAATAAATCAGAAATACCTCTGATGTAAGCATCAACTTTATATAATTTTTTTTACACGATATATCTATACAATTACAAAAAAGTCTTTTGTCGTATGACTCGTTGATTTTAAAGTTTTTTATCTCTAAATAGTCTCGTGATAAAACGACATTGTCGTTATTAAATATGATAGCGCAATATATATATATATATACATATAAATTTCAAAATTTTGCATATTAATATATGGCACAGAAGAGAGATAGTTTGACAAACAACCCTTGACGAATTTATTTATTCGCTATTTGTAATGTGTGTGTGACGTAAAATAAAAAGTGAAAATACTTGAGAGGACACAAGTCTTATATGTTACAATCACGGATCTCAATGTATAAATGACATACGATAAATGACAAATTTGTGAAGCGCTGAGACTGATATAGAGCTGAAACCACACACAAAAGCTAAATTTTTCAGAAAAAATAAATTTTATTATTCATTTAAAGATAATTTGTTTAAAGATAACGAGTTTTTATCGAGCATTGCTGTATTGCTGAGGATATACCTGTACAAATAGAGGAAAAGCAAGTAAACTTTTTTTTGATTATAACTGTGTTTATAATCATGACTTTAAATTAGATCTATATTCTTCTCACGCTTCGAACAGCCGTCTATTTCTCGAAATCTACGATTATTACGAATCGATATGAGTTTCAAAGAATCAGTAAAATTGACGTATTCAACGTGAATCAATATTCTCTGAACATTATTATTATTATTACATCTATATAAATTTATTTTCGAAGTATTCTGTTCCTGCAGATTCTACATTTCTCGTAAAACTTCTTTTAACTTGTAACAGAGAGGAGAGGTATTTTATAGGTATACACTTGTTATCACAAAGTAAAAGTACAGAGTTTTACAACAATCCTAATTATTCTTCGGTTTAACGCCACCGTTTTTTTTTTTTTTTTTTTTTTTTTTTTTTTTTTTTTTTTTTTTGTGAAAGTTTGATATAGTCGTACGAAAATACAAGGTGATTTTATTGCAAACAATAAATTACGCGTATCACATTCCTCTTTTCAATACGCAGAGTTTTCAGTTCAACTCACAATGGCTACGATAATTTAGCTCGTAAAACAGCTGTTTTTTAAGAAAATTGTTGAATATATTTATGATATAGAGAGTTACAATATTACGAAATATATTTAACTGTTTTAAAGCGAATGTGTGCACGAAAGAAATTATCTAGCGACTGCAATGAAATAGGATTGTAACATGATACAGATGCGTTTATACATATATGTGTGGCGCGCTTATATAAATATATATTTATATATATATATATATCAGTTCACAATGTGAAAAAGGAAGTTATTACGCTTCTTGCGTAATGAACAGGTCGGTAAATCCTAGGGGAACTAGAGAATAAATGTTTTAAACTTCAAGCAAATCTCTCGACACACTTCCCTTTATATAAAGATGAATAATAGCTCGTCAACTGGATAAAAATAAAATCGCGCGAACATTTTGTAAATCATATACTAACACAGAGATCATGATCAGATCTGTACGCGATTTATATCATAAACATCTTTTCTTCTCTCCCTCTCTTTTTTTCACATTTTCAAGTAAAATATCTATATATAATATATGCAACATTTTCATAAATTTCGTTCCCCTCCGCATCCGTCTACGACCGATCATTACGAATATTTTTAAATGAATACTTCGATGGGAAAAAAAGGAATTCTAGACTAGCATAACGTATTAAATACAAATGTATGTTTACAATGAGTTTAGGGTATATGATACCTCGTAGCTTCGATCGATCGAATGATAGCAAATAACAATCACATCAAGTAAAGAGCAGGAGTTTCGCGCGCAGATTTATACGTTCTTGAAGCGCGCTCGCTAATTCCCGCGTTAATTCTTCGCAAACCAGTCGTAGTTCCGCATTTTTCTCCCTCAGTTCTTGCAATGTCAATTGCTTTCCGTCTTCCGAATCGTCCTTGCTCTCTTCCTCGCCGCCGTCCCGTTCTGTCAAAATTACATTATTATAATTTGTCAAATATATATGATTGACGAAAGTGTGAGAGTTACAAATAAAGAGAAAAGAGAGATTTACTTGGACTGGGTTTTCTATAGATATGAAACGCTCCACAGGCTCCGCTAAACTGTTGAGATTGTTGAATCGTATTTTCTATAGACGATAACGTATTCTCGGGCTGTTCACTCTTGGGAGAGAAGTGAGAGAAGTCAGCAACAAAACCTTGACTTTCACTCAACGTTCTCTGTCCCTCACCCTCGCTCCTTTGGCCGACTAATTTACGAGGTGATGTCTGTAATAAAAACAAATAAAAATCATAATATCCGCCATAAAAGATGTATTTCCTTTAGAAGCAGATTTTTTCAGGTCGTGATTTACAAAAACAAAAACTTACAATTCCTGGCGAGATTCTAGGCGGTACTAATGGCGGTGCTCCAAGAAAACTCTGACCATTTTTTCCTATAACAATATGCACATAGTTTGAGACTTGAAAAATTATGATTTGATTTTGCATATTTGCGCAGAATAGTCTCATATGTACCTAATTTATTAAGATCAAGACTAGAACTGCGCGCGTGTGTTCTATACGGTCTGGGTGGTGGTGGTGGCGGTGGTTCCTTCTTGGGGGTTACGATAACAGCGTCTTCGGGAGGTTTCTTCGTAAGGGGTCGTTGTACTAGCGACGCCGCAGAATGCAGATCGTCGTCCACCAAGGTAGTACAACTGTTGCTGCCATTAGCACCGGAAGCGAGAATCGCTGCTTCGGGCGTTAATCGCAGCGGCACTGGATGCAGAATCTTCGGATCGCGTTCGACGGCCGATTTTTGGAAATCGAAATTCACCAGCTGCAATCCCGGACTGGTGACCGAACTGCTCGCTCCGGTCGGCGAATCCACGAACTTCGTCCACTCCTTGTTCTTTTCGCGAGCGTTCGCCGAATTTGGCGGTGACTTCGAAGCGGTTGTCGCCGATGGGATCTGCGGCGCCGCGGTAGGCGCTGTCGTTTGCATGACTAACGGAATTGACAAGGACGGAGGTAAAATATCAGGTAGAGGCACATGATTCCTCCTCAGTACAACCAGATGCATAGCCACGTAGAACTCTTGCAAACTGAGCGCCCCGTCTCTCGTGACATCTGCGAGCTGCCAAATACGCCTTAACTCGGATACGGGTAGTCGCGATTTTTCGAAAAACGTTCTGGCCACGGACCCAGCCAAGAGGCCTTCCGGGTCGGGCTGTAACTGCGCGAACTGCGCGGCATAATAATCACGTTGCTCGTCACTGATAATCCACACTTCTTCCGGCGGAAATGTCGAACCGTCGCCTTCTCCGTCACCCTCGTCGCTACTGTGACGTTCCGAACTCTCTTCCTCAGTGCCCAGCAATTGTCTCTGCTCCTCGGAAACCAATAAACCTTGCCAACCGCTGGAAACAGAATTTACCTCGCCGCCTAATATACCATCATTTCTCTCTTGAATCACACTGTTTGTTGGAGTGGGAGAATCCGTGCTTCCGCCAGTCTCGCGCGGAGATTCGGCTTCGCTCTCACTCTCGGTGGTACTTTCCGGAGCGTGATGTCTGCTCTTTGCTCCTCTAAGTAAATCCAAACTTCTTCTGCCGTCTTCATCGCCGGAAGTCGGCCATGTAAATCTCGGCAGAGTAATAATGTCCAAGGGTGTAGTTACCATTTCCTTAGAGACTTCCAGACCGGCTTGATGAACCGCTATGAGCTTCAGCACTGCGTAGAATTGTTTCTTGCCCAGTTGTGTGTTGCCATGCATAGTTCCCACACAGATGTCCAATATCTACAAAGTAAAATAAATTATTTTAGATATTATTTGTGTTAAATAGTTACAGAATATGCTATAGAATTGATATTAAGCTAAATAAATTGTATAAAATTACACATGTAACATATAATTGTATTACACATAAATCTTATTTTCTTTGTCACTTTTATCTTTTTAATATCTCACGTCACTCTTAATCCGCTTTGCATTTGCATCAGTGTGACGTATCGTTGTAAACCTGCAATGGCAAATAGAGATGACTCAAGATATACACCCACTGATGAATTAATCAGTTCAGCTGTTGGTACATAACCTCCACAAGATCTGACATTTCCATTCCTGAACGTATTTCGAGCGTATTTAATTTCACAAACAAAAAAGCTTCGAACGATATTGCTTCGATATAAATTTACTGTCGCGACTGTGATATCGATGGAAAAAAAAAACGAACGATAGCCTGTACGTAAAGTTACTATTAATATTACATTGTTCCGTTTTTTGTCACACGACAACGGTTTTTTGAGCGCATATGTTAATCGACTTGCGAACAGAGTTTCCTCGAGAGCTCTGCGAGAAACAGCCGGTTAAATTTCTGTCGCATGGAACAAAAATACGACAGCGATAACAACAATATTAGCCCAACACCTTAGCTCACCTTCATCGTGACATCCCGCGGCAAGCTGGCCGAGCGCAACAGCTCGGCGACTTTGATGACAGGCACGCTTTCGTTGTCCGCGTTCTCGCAGCAGTAGATGAATATGTCGCCGTAGTAACGATGCTCAGTCGCGGTCAGGTGTAGATTCGCCATCGTCATCAGCTCCCAGTCCATCTCGACGATCCGGGCGGTGGATGACGCGTCCGTCGGCCGTCCCGGCTGCCAGCCCACCGTCTAAGCTCCGTTACGTCCGCTCCGGCGGGCCGCTTCTTCCCTTCTTCGCTCTTCGTGAGCGCGCGACACGGTCTGCTTCACGAGGCGTTCGCGATCTCCCGCATCGTCGCCGGACGGCCGATTGACACAGATCTCAAGTCCCGTGGGAAGACGTCGTTTACAAAGCTTACACAGCCCTCCGCGCGCGATTATCGGACGATGCTATCATCACCGACTGACTGGCGCGATGTTTGACATTGCCATATAGTCTGTGTCGGCTAACTTAGCGCCGCCGCTCCGCGAGAGAGCGACGCACGTGCGCGCTAACTCTTGAAATTCTCTCGCGAGAATTTCTTTTCTCCTCGGAATGCACCAGAGACTCGTTTCTTTTTCTTTGAGAAGATGGAAGCTCTGTTCTCTTTCCGCGTGGCGTGTGCGTAATTTAACGAATCGATCTTGCACTCGACAGTCTTAGAGACGCGTATATAAATTCAAAACGCAAGACGATAAGACGATCAGTTTAATGTATTTCATGATTAGTATCACTCTGTTCTAAAAACGACACCTCTCAAACAAGAGCATCGAAGACGAAATGAATCGAAATTGGCTTTCGTTATTAATATAGTTGTAACAATAAACGTGAAAAATTACATTGCACGTCGATACTTGCGTCACTATCGCGCACTATTGTTTTCGTTTTTGTTTTTGTTTCGTTTTGTTTTTACAGAAGTGGAAGAATCTCTATGACGATACTTTGTTACAGTTTCTCGCAGTGAGAGAGAGAGAGAGAGAGAGATATCGCTATGAAATTAGAATGGTAATTCAATCGCTTTTGTTTTCACACGCATAAACTTAAAATGAAATCCTCCAAATCCTGTCTGTTCGATTATCGAGACAAGAGAAAAAAAAAAAAATTATTGAAGAGTTTTACATCTGCGGGGTATCGAGAAATCTACGATATTGTCAATCGTGTGTGTACAAAATAGCTCGTGACTAGAGAAAATTATTACATATACAAATGTCCTATCAACGTGTGACGCGATAATGCTAGTTTTGTTTGTTTTTTTTTTTTTTTTTTTGTTGTTCATCGTTAGAATGCGCTACTTCGATTCGATGATTTGGACGATTTTCTTTTTATTTCGACGAGAGAAGCAACGTATCAATGGAGCGGGGAATTCTCCGTGGACTTCTTCGTGCCGTCGCAATGTCCCGCGATCAATTTCTGTCCGGTCGTTGTAAATCGCAATTGCACCGGTGAGTCTTCTCGCGGAGTAACACCGTCCAAGTTCCAATTGCCGAAGTGCTCCTCGAGCAAGTCTTCCAGCCTCTTCGACAGCACCTCGATCTTCCTTGTTCGCTCATCATCGTGCTGTTCACAATTTTCTGAGATTTGAATTTCGATCCGAGCACGAATAAAAAGAATTAAAAAAAAAAATAATAAAACTTTTTTTCCCTCTAAGACTAATTTCTTTTTTTATTTATTTTTTTATTCTCTAAACCGCGACTTGTCTTACGAAGCAATTTGTCGTGAGACAAGAGAGAGATAAAAAGAGAATATTGTAAGAGATGAAAACTTTTTTAAGACTGCGATCGCAAACCTGGTGACACAATCTCGCGTTGTGAATAATTCGACGAAAATCTATCACAGCTTGTTCGACCTTGTGATAAATTCGGTTCTTCAGCTTGTACTCGACGATTTCGAGAAACATCGGGTTTTTAACAAGCTTGCAGTAATCCTCCGTCTGCAAAAAAAGGAACGTTTTCAGCAAATGTTTCTAATCAAAAAATATCTACACGTGTAAAGACATCTGTATTATTTTTTTAATTTTTTTTTTATATTCACACAATTCGGAAACTAACTATTTCCGCGGATGGACGCTCCTTGTTTTCGCGCGACAGCGGGTAGCGGAAGATCTTCGCTTCGTCCATCTGCCAGACGGTCTGATGAATCGTTTCGAGTTTGCTGAGCGCCAGAGGACTGAGACTCTGTTTTTTTCTCGAACTGTACCACACCGACCAGCCGCGATCACCCGATTTACCGGCGCATTTGCTCTCCGCTGCTTCCAGATCCTTCTTTTTCCCATGGGTTTTGGTGGCCGTTTTCAACGTCACGCTATTGGGTCGGACACCGCTGCTGATTTTCGCGGACGGTCCCTCATCCACTTGAACGTCGCTGCCGTCCGTGATTCTCGCCGCTTTTCTGTCGGTCGATTTTCTTGACTTTTGCAGAAGTTGATACGAGTATTCGGAGTCCTTTCTCGGATTCTTGCGACCGGGAATCGGCATCACGGTGGCCATCGACAAACCGGTTGTGTACTTACAGGACTCCTTTCTGTCGCTGTGCGTATTGTTCGACTTCACGGATCTTCGCACCGTTTCGGAGTACGTGGCTCTTCCGACGTACCTTTCCGATTCCTTGGTCGGCGTTTCGCCGCCGCTTTTCGCGAACAAATTCGAGACGCGCTTGCGAGACAAAATCGCCGGGTATTCGCTGTCGACGATTGTCGTGGTAGAAGTTCTCGTATCTTCGTCCGTAATCAGCGACGACGCGAGCCGATCCGGTTTCACGTCGGCGGTCTCCGAACTGTTCGAAGATTCCGAGCTCCGTCCGTCCGCGTCGTCCTTGCATCGTTTGCTGACGACGCTCGCATTATTGAGAGTTCTGATTAGCCAGGAGTCCGTTTTCACGTTGGTCCTGATACTGAGAGCTGTTGAACATGCTTTTTAGAAAAGGATTGTTTTTTTTTGCTTATTACTAGATATCACCTGTAAAAAGATCGCGGAGACGATTAAAGTTCTGATCATCTAAACGTCAAAGTTTGTTTTCCGAGAAAATTTATCTTGCGAGAAAAAAAACTGATTGTTTCGATTGAAATTTAGCGCTTCTCTGATCTTTATCGTTTGTCAGTTCTTATAAGCGAGACGATGTAACATTTTACAGTTCCGATAAAAAATTTTTACATTCCGATAAATTTTAATTTTGCAAATTATCATCATTTATTGTGTGGACTAAAAATTAAACAGATTTTTACCGTTTTCATCCTCGCGCGACTGGGACATCGATATGACGCTCGTGCTGGGCGACAATCTGCTCGTGGATCCCGAGTCGTCCTCCGAGGCTTCGTAGGACGTGGCGCAGTCGACGTTCTCGTGCTTGATCGAATCGTCTTGCAACGTCGTCGGTAACGTTTTATTAACGTTCTCGATCTTGTCGTCTTTCTCGGCGCTGTCGCTGCAATTGATCGTCTTGGACGTCTTATTGACGCAGTCCTTCACGTTAAGAGCTTCCAAGAGTATTTCGGCTGAGGCGCACGCCGCTTTCCAGGTCACGTCTTGACGAGTGTCTTGCGATTCCACGCGTTTCAAGATTCTAGGCGAGTTCTCGAGATTGAACATTGGCGTAGGCAACTGCGAGGCTGGCGGGAACGAGGTTTTTATCAGCGTGGCGTTGCCGATGTTCGTGATCGGTTCGTTGTGCGACAAAGGCGTCAATGACGCGGGTATCGGTATGTTCTTTCCCTTATTGCCGCACGTACTGTGATAATTGTTACGGGACGTCGCGTTATTATCCGATCGACGATTCGGTCTTCTCTGATGGCGCTTCTTCGGCACGTTGTAGCTTCCCGGCTTCATGTACACCCGCACGTCCTCGGAACTGTCGTACTCTTCCGGTATCTGCTGCTGCTGCTGCGTCTGAAAACGATTGCCGACGAAATTGTCGGCGACCCACGGCGTGCTCTGGATGTTCGGCAGATTTTGCAGCGCTTGAAACTGACGATTCGCGTCGATCTGTTTGGACACGCCCAAACTCGAATACTTCGGCACATCCTGCTGGATAAACAGTCGCGGCGCCGAGTTATCGTTCATTATCGGCTCGTCGAAGGTAGGCACGACGGTCGCTGGAAGCTGGGTGTTTCGCATGCTGGCAAACCAGGCCGACAGATTGGCCGCCATTTCCTCGGACTCCTTGTCGAACGTTCTCGGCTCTATCTGACTGAGCAGAGTCACCTTATTTCTCGGCACAGCCGGCAGTTCCACGTGATCGATCGTGTGCGGTCTGTAAATTGTCGAATTCGCGCTCTTGGCGCTCCCGCACGTTTGCTCGCAATTTCGTTTGCTCCTCGAGTTGACGTCGGCAGTCGGATAGGAAACCGAAGGCGAATAACCGGATCTTCCGTACGTCAGAACTCCCGGATTGGACGCGGAATAAGAAGACTCCGGATTACCGGACAGAGGAAACGTGAAGGACAAACAGTTTTCCGCATACAGTCCGCTGTAATTGACAGGAGTGTTCACCGCTGAATGTTGAAGTCGAATGGACTCCGTGTTATTCAACGCGGAAGATGAAAGCTTATTTTCCGACGTGTAGTTGTGTCTTCTGTCCTTCGTCGCGTCCGCGTTGCTTTCCATCACTTTGTTTCTCAGCTGACAAAACTCGGCGTTGAGCGATTTGTGAGTCGAATCCACTTTCCTGAACGAGGACGCGTCTTTCGTGCGAAGTTTACTGCCTGTCAGACCGCCTACGTCAGTGTGACACGTGGATACGTTCGGCACGGACTTCGTGGTGTTAATCGCGGACGACAGGTTCTCCGTGATCGTCCACTTGCTTCGTAATTTGCTTTCCTGCTGACCGGAGTTGTATTGAAAATTACGCAAACTACTCGTCGATAGCGGCGCCGAAGTCGCACCCCGCGCATTTTCCTGAGCAGACGATTTCCCAACCGCGTTTTGCTGAGAACTAAACGACGGCAACTGGAAGAAGAGATCGCAGTTCGTATAGAGCGACACGTCGCCCGGAAATGAGGACGATTCGCAGGTTGCGTTGCGCTTCTGATCCGTCGCCTCGGTGTTTTCTCCGAATTTCTGGAAGGTCTTCACTATTTGCTTCAGTAATTCGCACGTGTTCTCTTCCCACGTGTGAAAGCACACGATCAATTCGGGATCCAGTCTGTCCAGCAAATTGGGAAAATGTTGCTTGTTCAGGTAATTGTCGAGGCTGAGCCATCCGTTGCTGATGCGCAGAAGAGCGTTCACGAGATCACTCGTGAAAACCTGATCGCCCGCGAAAACCGGAATGCAGGTCGAAGACTTTGTGATCGCTGTCCTCGTGGCGGATGACAAACACGTTAACCAACTTCGCTTGGAGTCCGCGTGCGTTCCGTCGCAAGCAAGCAACGTCTCAGCCTCCGTGCATCCCCAGTACGCTGTCTTTCGAATCAGTTCTGGATATTGCGATCTGTCGATGCACGAACTGTCGGTCTGGACGCCTATCGACATCCCGTTTTCGTATTCGGGACACAAATCGGTGAACCAACTACTCGTCTTGTTGCTGGGCATGTTGTCACCCGCGCCGCTAAATAAAGGCGCTGTGTCGGTTTTGTTGGCGGGTTTCGATTCCTCCTTACCTAAATCGTTCGAGGACGTGGTATTGCACAAAGCGGAAACCATTTTTTCTGCCTCGATGGTGAAATCGAAGCTGGCCGAGGATTCGTCGGAATAATGTTCTTCGTCGATCTTCGTGGGTACCGAAACAGGTTTTTGCAATACACAGTCGGTCGACTCGGTAATCTTGTTGTTGCCCGCGATTAGCGCGTCGTACGAATTTTTGGAGGACGCCTCGATCTGAGACGGCCAATCGTTGGAATTTTCCAAGTTGTTACTGATCGGAGCAATTCGGGACTCGCAGACGCTCGATATCTTGTTCACGTTCTGCTTGAACGGCAACATTTCCAACGTGGGCAACGGCGCGGATTTGTCCGTACACGTTGAACCGACGACAAAATTAACGGGCGTATTCGAGAAGAGCGGCGAGGACTGCGTCGGGAACTGATTGTTGCTGCTGAAGGTTGTCAGGTTGGTGTAAGGCGCGAGGTTGGAGAGCGGAAAGGACGAGTTGGCGTTGACGGTCTGTAGGCTGCAGGTGTTCGTGGCTGAGATATTGTAGTAGGAAGCTTGCATCGGTAGTTGTTGCTGCTGCTGAGCGTTTTGCCGATCCTGAACGAAACAGAAGCTCTGCACGTCCGGCGACTTGAAAGATTGCGGCAACATGTGCGTGATCCCGGAACTATTGTTGTAGTGCTCGCTGGGCAATGGTCCAGCATGAGCGAACGTGGAAGAGGCTACTAAGAAGGACGTGGCTGACGGTGAGATCGACGGGGCGACGCTGGAAGACGGTTGTTGATCAAAGAACCTCATGGGTTTCGAGTTGTACGAAAGCTGTTGTTGCTGCTGCTGCTGTTGGCAATATTGCTGATTGCGAGACAGCTTGTTCTTGGAATGCCATCGATTATTTTTACCTAAATTCGCGCATCAAATGTCTATTCATCGCTCGTTAATCACATAACAATAAGCGATTTTTGTGCACACACACACACACACACACATACATATAGTACTTGTAGTTGATATTGTATCGTTCACTTTGAGCAACTTTTGTCGTTTGAAGAAAGAAAAAACAGAAAATTGATTGACAGAAAAAAAGAACATTGTGATTTTTATAAGAAATTAGATGATCTCAACTAGACTGCGCGTGCAACGCGCGTAGTTTGTAGTTTATCATACCTTGGTGATAATGCAGAGGAACGGAATTCGGTAAAGCGAGATGAGGCTGAACGCTCGGATAAACACAGGAAGAATGAAGCGCTGTTCCACATGGCTGAAGAGTCATCATTAGGTTACTGATAGGGGCGTATAGCATTTGTTGCTGCTGCTGCTGATGGCAAACGGACGTTGTTGACGGAGCTGGAATCGGAGATGGTCGGGAATGATGTAAGAATGATGATCGATTTGATCGCGCGGCCGTCGGACGCATGATCTGTTTGATCCTCCGGATCAAAACTGTGAATTCTCCGACGTCTCTTTGAGTCGATGTTAGCAGCTTCTGTTAAACGACAAAATCCGTCATTGTGTTGCGCGACACCGCAACGTTTAAAATTACTAATCTCGCCGTATATTGCGAGATATTTTTATAAATTATTTAAACGTTAGATGCGGTTACGTTTTTTTTCGGAGATATGTCAGATTATTAACGTTATTTTATTATCAATGCGCGTGCGATATTATTCGATATTTCGTCGGTATGTGTAATCTTATTTACTTGTTTGAGGCCATAATGCCGCCGTAATGATACGTATCGCAAGCGAAATGCATCGCACGTTAAATGTAACAGAATTAAAATAACGTTATTTAAAAAAAAAAAAAATTCCTATTTGATCTTATAGTGATAGTCGTTTATCTAAGCCGGATGAATGTGGCCGCTATATATCAGCTGCGCTGAATGGAATTCATCTAACTTCCTCTTCTATTCCTCGCTCTATTATCGATTTTGTGAAAGTGCGGTCACACGCAGACCGAAATGCAACGTAACGGCGCGGTGCGAAGAAAGACACGGTGTTACAATTTAATTTTTGCATGCGAGACGCACGTGTGATCACGTGACCGCGATCCTAACGCCATCTCTTGGGAAAAAAACCAGCACTTAGTAAAATTGATTTGTTGGTATTGTCGTAAAGCATCGGAAGCGAATCTGCGGCGAGATAACCTAACCTAACCTCATGTGTAACGTAGGGTTTTGTATACGCGTATGAAAGCGCACATAATTTCGACCTGTTTGATATTTCGCGTACCCGTGCAACTGCGATTTGTTCTTTCTTTTTATTTGCAGCGAACGACGATGTAGATTCGATATTCTGCATCGTGGCACAATATAGATTTTACATTTGTAACCTTATGCCTCAGTGTTTGTTTTTTTGATTGTATACAAGATTATTAAAAAATGTCGATCGAAATCGAATCTGCCGAGTAAGTAAAATTGTTCTAACTTATGGTTGTGTAGTTTGATAATTAATGAATTGTAAAATACACTAATTTTTTTCTAATTGTAAACACATCGATCGTATTTGTATTCCAGTGTGATTCGGTTGATACAACAGTATCTTAAGGAATCAAATCTCGTGAAGACGCTGCAAACCTTACAGGTATTTTTTGTTTGCGATATTTCTTGATGTGTATGTAGTTTCTAATTAGATTAGTAATTAATCTTTTTTGAAAACAGGAAGAAACAGGTGTGTCGCTGAACACTGTTGACAGCGTAGATGGTTTTGTAGCTGACATAAACAATGGCCACTGGGACACGGTTTTAAAAGCAATACAATCACTCAAACTGCCTGACAAAAAACTTATAGACTTGTACGAACAGGTTGTTCTAGAATTAATTGAATTGAGAGAATTAGGTGCGGCGCGTTCGTTATTGAGACAGACTGATCCTATGATTATGATGAAGCAGCAAGAACCTGAGAGATACATTCACTTAGGTATAAATATAACATGAGTTTCTTTTACTATAATTATTTTTTATTATGTGCTATATTGTTCCTAATTATTTTACAAGATTTTTCTCACACTCCAACAAACAATATTTTACAGAAAATCTTCTTGCACGTTCGTATTTTGATCCACGTGAAGCTTATCCTGATGGAAGCACCAAGGAAAAGCGAAGAGCTTATATAGCAACGGCTCTTGCTGGCGAAGTGTCAGTCGTACCTTCCAGTAGATTGCTCGCTTTGTTGGGACAAGCTCTGAAATGGCAACAGCATCAGGGTCTACTGCCGCCTGGCACCACGATAGATCTGTTCAGAGGAAAAGCGGCGGTGCGCGATCAGGAAGACGAGAAATATCCGACGCAGTTATCGAAGCAAATTAAATTCGGCCAAAAATCGCACGTGGAGTGCGCACGTTTTTCGCCCGATGGCCAATACCTGGTGACCGGTTCGGTGGACGGTTTCATTGAGGTGTGGAACTTTACGACTGGTAAAATCAGAAAGGACTTGAAGTACCAAGCGCAAGACAATTTTATGATGATGGAGCAAGCGGTGCTTTCCATGGCGTTCAGTCGCGACAGCGAAATGCTCGCGGGTGGCGGTCAGGACGGCAAGATTAAAGTCTGGAAGGTGCAGAGCGGACAGTGTCTGAGAAGATTCGAAAAAGCGCATACAAAAGGAGTGACTTGCCTGCAGTTCAGCAGGGATAACAGTCAGATTTTATCGGCCTCGTTTGACACCACCATAAGGTGAGAAACCACAGTTTATTCTATTATTTACTTTATTCGGCAAATGTTCATAATTTACATCAGCAATGTACACATGTTCTTCGCAGAATACACGGCCTCAAATCCGGCAAGACTCTCAAAGAATTCCGCGGCCACTCATCGTTCGTAAATGAGGTCGTTTTTTCTCCAGACGGTCATAATATTATCAGGTATTGTGACTTTGTAAATTTAAACCAAAAAGAGAGAAAAACACTTTTTTTCAATTTTGTGCATATATTAATATATTTCGTGCGTGTAAAATTTTTATTTCGCAGCGCGTCCTCGGATGGGACTGTTAAGATTTGGAGTTTAAAGACCACCGAGTGTATAGGCACGTACAAATCGTTGGGCGCCGCCGATCTTACGGTGAACAGCATACATCCCCTTCCTCGAAATCTGGAACACTTCGTCGTGTGCAATCGTTCGAACACAGTAGTGATCATGAACATGCAAGGTCAGATCGTGAGATCGTTCTCGAGCGGTAAACGAGAAGGCGGTGACTTTGTTTGCACGGTGGTGAGTCCGCGCGGCGAATTCATCTACTGCGTCGGTGAGGATCTCGTACTGTACTGCTTCTCCACGTCATCGGGAAAACTTGAGAGAACTCTCAACGTGAGTATTGTAACATTTCATCACAGTGTACGTTGAAGTAAAACAAAAAAAAAAACAAAATAAAACTCAATATTCACACTTTGATTTTAGATACACGAAAAAGATGTCATAGGTTTGGCGCATCATCCCCATCAAAATTTGCTGTGTTCTTACAGCGAGGATGGTTTGTTAAAGCTATGGAAACCTTAAATAAAAAAAAAAAAAAAAAAAAAAAAAAAAAAAAAAAAAAAACCAATTAAGAAATTTTCACTTCTTTTTTGGTTTATTACCAAAAATATCATGTACGTATTACTCCACTTATTCTTCCATTATGTATAAACATCGGACAATGATAAATATAAACGCATGCTGTGTACATTCATAATTTCGATCGCTCTCTCTCTTTCTACTCGATAAAAAAAAAAAAATCCAAAGCACCGAAACGTACATAAAAATTATGATTTTTCTCTGCGCGCTGAAATTACGAGTCTCTTTTCGATGTTTTCACGCCTTATTCCGGTTCTCGCTAACGAGGAAAGGCGTGATTTTTTTTTTTTTTTTTTTTTTTTTACGGAAAAATCGTCGATATTGCTGAAGCATTGGAACGTTAACGCGTTCTGCGCGAACAATAACAGACATTATTACGCCCGGCTGTATCTGATCGTGCGAACCTAATCGTTACACCGTCGCCGACGTGAGTTAGTCGGGGCAGGTAAATAGGATACGGGGTGGGTGGTTGTGTGATCCGGGACTCCCACTCCACCGTTCCGGGGCTAAGTGCACCTCTCTCCCCCTCGTGCCTATTTTCCTTGCGCGTCGTCACGTAGAACGCGGGGCCCCATCGTCGGCTCGCGCTTCGCCGTAATTGGGCCCCGAGCAAATAAGCAATCACTATATTTCGGCTCGGCAAATATTATAATAACAGACCGCCGGGGTTAACCGGGTTATCGGTCGTACGATCGGTGGCCGGCTCAGGCGTCTTAGACAGCGCCAAAACCAGCACCGACCTGCTGCTTCTTTTTGCGCGCGTCCGTTTTTACGGCTCACGGCCGCTTACCGAAAACGACCCCTTGTTAATATCTTCATAAAGCCCTATGTGCGAAAACGCATCCGGTCGAGGAACGGCGATCAATCAAACCGATGCCCCGATGCGTAGGACGTAGGTTTAATCGAGAGACGATTATGCGAAATACGTTTTGCTTGCGTAATCGATGTGATCGAAGGTGATTTCGAGGGTGTTTATTTGTTTACGTGAGTTGTTCTATCTACAGTTTTATTTATTATACAATAAAATAAAATTCTGTGATTTTTTTCTCGTAATTTTAGATATTCTCAAAAACTCGTTTAGAAGTTTAGAAAATGTTGATTCCTCCGAGATTTCAGTTGTGTGAAAAAAAAAAAATACTATTCGAGCGACAAGCATTTTTTGCCAACAAAGCGATACATTTTGTTTCGTATATATCTTTTCTGACGGTGAAACCTACCATTTACGTAGTAATTTCACGACGTAAGTGAGATCGGCAAGATTTCCTCACAAAGCCCTCGACGATCGCGTGAAAATTCACTGTCGGTCTTTTTGGCATGTAATCCACACACGTGAAAACAACAAATGGACCCGGAAAGCCGTTCCGCTTTCTTCTTTCGGTTCTGCTTAATGCGACTTTAATGCCATCGTAAGATTTTTCACTTTACTCCGGTGTATTTCCGGTGGTCTCGCCCGCAGTGGTAGTCGGACGAATTATCGGTTAGTTTCTTGGTCGCTCATCGCCGATTTTTCTTCCTTCTAGTTAACTCGAAACCGCTAGCTTCCTTTATGACAAGTTTCAACATTTACAAGTATCGTAACTTTTGAGTAAAAAAAAATTTTAATATTCTTTTATTTTGTTAAATTTTCGAATTTTAATTTTAAAATTACAAAAGAAAATCGAGGAAGTTCAGTGAATTGGACACTGCAATCGACCGATAATCGACGTCTCGTGATTGCACACGTGTGTGTGATCTGCCGCGCGGGAGGATGCACATTTCGAGATGATTAGACGCGACGCGGCGCATCGTGTGTCTGCCGGGACTGTTTTGTGTCCGGGATAGAACGCGCGTGTGATCACAAGTATTCATCGACCGTAAAGGATTGTTTCGAACGGTTCGAATTAACTGTACGCGCGGCCATCACACGCGCAAAACCAGATGCTACTCTTAGTTACAGGTACCGTTGCCGTCTCGTAATCGCTGTCAGACACCGACTTCGACGCACACGTGATCGCACACGTGAAAATAAATTTGTCATGTAACATGTCTTTTTCGACGAAAACACATTGTTTTATCGTTTGAGTGACGCGCGATTATACGTAAACGAAAATGCAAACGAAAGAGCGACAGTGGGGCGCAGGTGTCCCGTGAAAGGGCTTTTGGAAAGTCGGTGAATTCTCGGTGGAGGGAGGAACTACGAACGGTTGGTTGGCTTGCGAGGGAAGGAATTTCGCTCCACTAATTTCGCTTCTTCCGACGTGATATCGTACGAGTGCTTTCAAACCTTATCGAACCCGTTTGTTTTCGCAGAAGAGCGAAGCTCTTTTTTTATTTTCATCTCGCGTATACGAAGTCGCTTAGCGACTCTAGAGAATATATCGTAGGTATCGTGTGTCAAAAAAGCACGAAGACGAAACTCTTCTTAGAGAAGACGAAAGATAGAGATACTCGGGCGAGTATAGACTTCGATTATATCGGTCTGAAGATCGGCTTTTCCCTAGCTCTCATTTCCGTATTTCCGGAAGAACTCCCCCCAATATTTCGCGATCATAATTTGTTAATAATTGGACATTGCGCTTATGGGCCCGTGGTAAGAGGAAAGGGCCTCCTCTCTCGCTGGCCAACTGGCCCCAGGTGTGTGCACGGGGAGCGTGGCGGACGCGTGCTTCTCCCCTCTTTTTAACCTTCTTCGCTTGCAGCCGAACGCGCTTGATTCGACTCGCTCGCTTCTTTCTTCTTCTGCCTCTATCACTTCGCGATTATTCCCTCCTCTCCGCTTCGTCTCGCAAGCTCACTCCCAATCGCCGCCCAATTTGACGCGCGCGACATTCGCACGCGCAGATGTTGCTTCTCGTGAGAAATTTTGTAATGGAATACGACGCGGTCGTTTTTTTTTTTTCTCACGATTTGTAAGTCGATCTCGGAAAATTCGTGAACGAAGACGCCGCGAGAATCTTACACGTAGAATCAGAATAATGAGGAACATACAACCTATATTCTTGCACGAAGTAACTTAATGACAGATACGTTAATTATCGTACAAGGTGCAGGAGACCTCGGCAAGACAAGACGTAAAATGGTTAAACGGGGTATCGTCGTGCGGGCGTAAGTTGAGCTGCGAAGGTTGAGTTTCGGCTCGGAGCTTCCCTTCCTCCCCCCCTCCCGCAAAATGGAGGAGGGATTTGCATTCGCGGAAAGGTGGCAATTACTCCGCGCAGCGGAATATAACGCAATTATCGAATTAACCCTCGCACCCCCACATAATTGCTCGCGACTTCACGATTTAAGTGGATAATCATTGGGAACCGGTCTGACTTTCGGCCGAGCGCCGAAATTCGCCCGGAGACGAGAGCGTTTCGAGAGTGTATGTGGGGCGGCAGATCCGCGGCGAGAGATGCATCGTGTAATTTAAACGTTGCACGTACTACGGCGCGCACGCACCACGTTTTCTCTAATGGCAAAAAAATTTATCGGTCAAACTCCAGGATCGGGAGCCAAAGCGCGATCGAACTTCGCGCTCTATTTTCCCTCTCATCAATTTCCGCTAGTTAGAAAAAAAAAAAATCGAGTGTCCCGGATGAGAAAGAAAACTGATGCTGCGCCATCATTTATTATTGTTATTAGGTTTTTTAATTTCTCTTTTCTCCTTAAAACGGCGATTCGTTATGAAATATCGACCAACAATTCGCCGCGTCTGCGTTTCGATCGCAAACTCGACGAGAGATTTCTTCACCGATCGATCGGACCACTCGGTCACACAGGAGGGTGCCGGTTATTGTTATATGTTGCCGGTTTATAGCCTTCACATTTTCACCTTTCCCTTCTCTCTTGCGCCTGCCTTGCGTTCGCGCGAGTTTCATTGTTTCGCGGGCTGCTGAAAAACTCCCCATTGTGTGTGCAGCATCGCGTCGATCTCAATGCACGAATTCGAAAACAAGGCCGCGCGATTGTTTCACTCCTCCTTTGAGTCTATTATTCTCGGCGCCGAGCTAATTTGCCGGCCCGTTCGTCGGCCCGACGACGATTTACAGAGAACATCGGCATCACTAATTTGAAGGAATTTCGAGAAAAAGTCTCGAACAATGAGAGAGAGAGAGAGAGAGAGAGAGAGAGAGAGAGAAAGAGAAAATTCTCACGTGTAATTTGGTGGCAATTTTGTGGACTCATACAAAAGCAAACTTTCGAAAAATTTTTCCCGAAGGAAATTTTTTTTCTCTAATATCGATTTTTTTCTTTTATCTTGGAACAGAAAATTGAACTATAATTGCTCATCTCATTAATCTCTAGTCGCACCTCATCGTGTGAAGCCGGTCGATTTTTTTCGTGCGAGAACATTCGTAACTGTCTCGTACACCGACTGAGAACTTCCGATTCGATCACAAGCAACCACCTCCTCGTTTCGAAGGGCGCTTCTTCGGCGCTTAATCACTAGGCTACCGACACTTCGTATTCGTTTTACAAATGCCGTGCTTGTGGGAAAATTCAACGTCGCGAGCGCGGCCATCGAACCTCTCGTCTTCTTCTTCTTCTTCTTTTTCTTCCGCTTGTCTGCGTTTGTTAAAGACAATCGAAGAAAAAATCAATCCAGTTTTTTTTTTATCTTCTTCAGTTTTTTTCGTCTTTTAAATAAAAAAACAAACGTTCCCAATACACTTTAATTACTGTACATTATTTTCTTTAACAAGTGTCGAATTACTGGGTTTTTTTCTTTTTTTACATTGAGGACGTCTCTGAATAGATTTTCCTCTCATCCATCTTCCTCCGGCAGATCGTCACGCACAAACGAGAACACGCCGGTGATCTTCTCGAGAGAGAGAGCCGCGTTACAAATCACCGGAATCAGCCCGGGAGGCCACCACGATTCCCGAGAAGTTTCTTTCTCTCTCACTTGACGGCGGTCCGCTCGAAAGTTCCGAAAATCAATTTTTTTCCCCCAGGACGTCAATTAACGGAGTTTTTCCGTCTACGACGTAGGTCTCTCTTGCGGAGGGAGCGCGACGACTTCGGAAGCCTTAATCGTCGCCGGCTCCCTTGTCTCCTCTCTCGACCATTGCAATTTTCAAACTTTCGGCTACCGCGCGCTTGTCTCCTTCCTCTCGAGAGTCACTCGT